TAACCCTAACCCTAACCCTAACCCTAACCCTAACCCTAACCCTAACCCTAACCCTAACCCTAACCCTAACCCTAACCCTAACCCTAACCCTAACCCTAACCCTAACCCTAACCCTAACCCTAACCCTAACCCTAACCCTAACCCTAATCTCGGACCAATTCATGTTTATGTTTTTCTACATTTTAAACAACTTCCTTCAATCAAGCAAGTCCTGAGAATGAATTCCTGAGCCAGTATTGCATGATTTCTTGCTGAACTTCGCATTTTTGCCTGTCTAACTTAGCAACAATGAGTGCTAGTGATGTTGGCTCAGTTGTAGCCTATGTAATTTCGCATTCTGAACACTCTTTGTCACTCAAGCAAGTCATGAAAATTAATCCTTGGCTCAGTATTCCTCTAGTGGATGGTAAAGTTCGCATTTTTGCACCTTTTTCCCACCTCAAATTGTCCCCAATAGCTCCGAAGTTTCTGTATTTTATGTATTTCATTATTCTGAGCAACTTTACTCTATATACCTAAGTATTTGGGACAAGTTCTGCCTTTGTATTCACAAAAAAAAGGCCCTCTGAGCGAATTTTGTTGTTCTTTGCCTGTGGGAATGTCCCCTAGCTCCCCTGGGTCATGTGCTTACAGAATACTTCAGAGGTTTTCTGTAAGCACATGATCTAGGGGGGCTAGGAGTCACCTTCTGGCTGTACTTCGCATTTTTGCTCAATTTAAATGGCAATACCTGTTGCTACAAATTGCCCCCCACATCGGATTTATGTTTCTTTACATTCTGAACAACTTTGTCCACTCAAACAAGACCTGTAAATCAAATCCTGAGGCAGTACAGCTCATTCTTCCTGCTAATTTCGCATTTTGGAGACTGTAGCTTGTCCATCAAATATGCTAGCTATATACTGTCAATTGTATCTCATGTAATTTCGCATTCTGAACACTTTTCTACCCTCAAGCAAGTCATGAAAATCAAATCCTGAGTCACTAACCCTGTATTTGCTGTTTAAGTTCGCATTTTTCCAGCTTTTGACTGTCTTAAAATGGCCCTAACTACTTCGGAGCTTTTGCATCTTATGCTTTTTATTATTCTGAACAACATTCCTCTATATACCTAAGCAATTGGAGCAGGTTCTGACCATGTTTCATTACAAAAAGTGTCATTAGAGCGGAATTTGAAGTCCCTAATGTGGGCTACTGACTGTGAGAAACTAATTTAGTAGTGAGGTCGGAGTTGTGATGTATTGTAACTGTGAGAAAATGCGAACACTCAGCTGCCTGAATAGGCAGGTCAGGGGAAAGAGGGAACAGGGGCACATTAAATAAAACACAAAGATAATTCCACAGCTTCCTCAGATGGTGGCGCAACTCGGCGCAACAACGACCCAGTCCTGGGGAATATATATGGGGAGGTTTGGGGAGCTGTTGCGCCGAGTTGCGCCACTGTTTGAAGTGGCTGGGGCCAGTATGGTAGTTTTGCAGGTAGTAAACGTGCTGCTGGATGATGAGGAAGCGGCGCAACACGGCGCAACAAGTTGTCCCATATACCTTGAGGGTATACCTAGAGATGGGTACTTGTTGCGCCGAGTCGCGCCAACATCCTGGCCGTTGGCACCCTCTTCTCCTCGTACCGAAACGGTATTTGAGCTACAGCACAAGGAGGAGGGCAGCTATCTCCGTAGGAATTTTATCAGTATACTCTCCTAACATGCCCGGACATATTTCGTCACCTAACCCTGGGTCGGGGAGCGACGGTTGCTTCGCTGCGCTCAGCGAGATTCTCGACGAAGAAGGGGGCACTGGAGCGTGGGGAAGCGGCGCAACTCGGCGCGACAAGGTGATTCTTCATCAGAACACCCTAACGGAGGTGTGTGAAGTTGTTGCGCCGCGAACGGAGAAGGTCGACCGATTACACCCTGTAATCCGTCGGATAATATAGATAGGCTCGGTTGGATTGTGGCAAACGGAGACCACAGGTGCGTGGTACTTCGTTCATCCGGTTTCGCGGTTTTGACTTCATCTTCGGGGATACAGTGACTTCGATAAGATCTACCTAATGGGATTCCCCCAAAACGATACGACGCTACGTTGAAGCCTGGTGCTCGAACGACTGCTCCACGTACTCGAAATCCTTATGAACAACGAGGGTTCGTGTCTCAAGCCAGCATTCCGCGAATGAGGACCATCACTTCCCTCTTTCAAGCTCTTAAGCAGCACGCCCTGAACGATCCGGACGACCTAGGCTGACACCTAGAAGGACTTTTAGAAAGCCTTTAACTTGGTGCTTGATGATTAGCTCAACCGCAACTCGACACAATTTAACACGTTCCCTACCTGTCTTGGCCAAGGCAAGGCGAAGGCTCTACTACAGGGTGTCAGCGCCAAAGCTTCAAAGCATGGTGTGTCATTGTCCAATCGGTTGCCGGGATAGTACGGCTCTATTCTACACCGATATCAACTTCTGGGTGCACAGCAACCTCGCCGCCACCCAATCTGTCCACCCAGTCGGGCTTCAACCTTTTCGCCTCGGCTCATCACCCGCGTCTTGTTCATCTAACAAACGGAAAGCAACGCCTCCATCCTCGCCTCTCACTCGTCGATCTAAAGCTCTCAAGACGCACATCATATCCTTGGTGAGCCTAGCACTCTGAATGGACTTGGCCGATACTGGGGCTGGTTGTACCATCAAGATCCTCAGCTTCTTTGGCAATGTCGTTGGGAAGAACACTTGGTGCCCACTCACAATACAATCATGTGGCGACGGTGATCGCTGGAGAAGACTATCAAGCTCGTTAGCGAATGCCACGGCTCTTTCTACGCCAGATATACGTAGATGCAATATTGATGAACACGAAGCTTCGATCCCGCCGAGCTGGAGTAACCCATGGGGGTTGCGGTTCCCCGAGTGATGTAGTCGCTGGAGCACCGGCATCGACTCCGGCGTATTGGGAAACGGGTAGTGTTCATGCACAGTGAGTTCAAGTACTCTCGGGAACGAGAGCTGGAACAGTTAGGATATTAGACTGGTACTAGTGCACGGCGTCGTGGCGAGGAAAGTCAGGGATTCTAATGTTGGAGCTGCGAAGTGCAGGGTTTTAATCATGGCGGTCTCCACCGCGGGGTCTGTATCCTCTCGCTCACACTTAGAAGATGAAGGTGGAGCGGATTCTGCGTCCGTGGGAAGGCATCTTCCCCAAAGTAGCCGCTACTATCGATATTCTGTCCGTTCCGTCGAGCCCCATCGACTGGTAGATAAACGGTATCGCAATGGCATGGTTACACCGCGAAACTCGAAGCAGGGCGCGAACCGTGTTGCCGTCGTCGGCGCTAGCCAGGCGAACGATGTAAGAATGGAGTTCTGGCGGGCAGCTATTCATAACTCGCAAACTGTAAATCGAGGCCTCCGAGTCGGTGGTGAGTTCGGGGTGGGTAGGTGATTCGACGACTGTTATCGTCGTTCCTCCCTCTCACACAATATGATGACTGGCGATGGTAGCCGCTTCAGTTTGTCTCCAAAGAGTATAATAAGAAATCCGAAGTACTTGACAGATCTAAGTTTAGATATACAAATACAGCTCCAAACTATAACAAACGAGACGACTCAGCCCCTCAAAACGCCCTCAACGATATCTGCAGTTTACCCCCTTGTCCCGTTCCTTGTCCCGGCCCCTGAGCAGCGGTCTTCCCTACCGCCTTCCTAACAGCTTGTTCAAGGGACTCTCGGGCCCCGGGGTCCAATTTCGCGGCAGCTTGCTTAAAAGCCATCGGAGATAATGCCGCAAAGCTCAATATTTGGGCGATGCTCGATGCGTGTATTGACAATGACGGTGATGCGGCGCTACCAGTGGTGTTAGTAGCTTCCTCGTCGTTCGACAGGGTAAGGAGTATTGGAAGAAAACGCCTAGAACACGGTCTCCTATTTGGAGTAAAACAAAGGGAGTTTAGCCTTATGCACACGCGATATACGATACGTTGACTTACGATGTTCCTCAGCTACACTTGCGTATATCCTCGCACACTTCACCAGCTCCTACAACATGCGTATCCGAAACGCCACCGCTCTCCCTGATCAAGGATGAGTGAGGAGTGTCACCAGTGGCTCGGAAACAGCGTCTTGAACAGGCGGTGGGGCGTTCCCTAACTGCTGCAGCAACCCCGCTACCTCTCGCAGGGCAACAACGAGTATAGTCGACGACGGCGCGACTTGACCTGGCATCATTGCCGGCCAGCGCTTTAAATACGAGTTGGAGAGTTCTTGCATCGCTCCGATTTGACCTTGTTTGCTGAGCATCCGCACACCGATTACATCCCGAACCAAAATCCCAACCGCATTCCTAATCAACAAGGTCTCGTAACGCAGGGTACTGCCGCCGTTCAGGTTGTTGGCGTGAACGTTCTTGTGAAGCAGAGGGTTGGCCACGATGTCATTCATGAAATGCTGTACGACGAGGGCATAGTTGCTTTCGACGAATGATGCCCCCAGTTTCGTGATGAGAGCGAAATAGAAGTCGAAGATACCGACGCGTGTTTTGCGAGCGGCGGGGCCAGAAGATGATGTAAGGGTCTTGGTGAAATGCCCAGGTGGGCCAGCATCTCTGCCGGCGAGAACATCGGTTTCTTTATTTCCGTGCTCGTTCCGCCTGCAGGAGAGAGCGGATCATCGCCGAGAGCCTGTCCAGCTTTCTTAACGCCTTTTGCAGCAGGTTCTTGGATTACGACGGTACGCTCGATCTGCGTAGAAGCTAGAAGATGTCCCACTAGTTGGGCGAGGGTACATCGGGTAACCTGGTCTACGCTGTCCAAGTTCTTTACGCATAGCGTGATAATGGTATCGACGTCGCTTGAAGAGGGAAGACCGTCGGCTGAATACATAGCGATGAGGACCTACTTTCGTTCGGAGTCAAATAGCGAAGAGACCAGCACGATTGTACTTCGGCGGATGCTCGCTGCACAGGCATACACTTGTCCGTCAGTCCATTTCCCATTTGTTTGATGATGTCTTTGGCAGACGCATCTGTCACGGCGCGCTTCGCTGAGTTTAGCGATTTCCGGAGGGCGACCAGCGCGTGGTATCGAAGGAGAGGAGACTTTGGAATGAGTTTTGATTTCCTATCGAACGGGTTGTGGGAGAACTCACGTTTGAAGACTTCGCCATTCTCAGAGTTACCATTGATATCTCAGCCATGAAGAACATAACCTAAGCTCCCATGTAGACCGGAAGCGTGCCAAGAAGAGTTAGAGGGCGTACCTGGGTCCCGAACTCATACATTAAGTCGCCGATACACGAAAATGCAGCACTACACCAGTATCAATAAGTATTCGAGGGGATCGGAATAGGGACTCACACTTTGACAGTGTCCTTTTCTATCGCTTTGAAATCGCCAACTATCTTCATCAACGCCTGGAGCGTATCAAAGAGCGTCCGAGTCTCCCCTCGCCGATATACCTTAATTAGACATTGTGCGACCAACTGACGAACTGCGCGACCTGGCGGTGTGTAAGGTGCAGAAGCCGATATGATCTTGACGAAAATCTGTTCTAACGTATTCTGTGTGCCCTTCAGAGTATCCTTCGACCAAGGTAAGAAAGAGCAGGGTTCGGACTACGATTTGGTACTTACAGGGTTTGCATGCGTTAGCTTCTTTTCTGTAGAAGCTAGCCAAGAACGCAAATTCATGTCGCCGTTTTATCCAGATACACCAGCCTTAGAAACCGTAAGAATATGGCCAAGGCCTCGCGTTATACACTAACCTCGTCAATCATCGTGATCGTTGGCGTATTGGAGGCCGTAGTTGGCGTTGATTGAGTCTTACAATAAGCCAGTAGAATGGTAAAGCAAATCCAAGCCTCGTTTAGTGCGTCGTATTGTTACAAATGGTGGAGGAGACGGCGTGTATAATGATCAGACAGTGAAGTCGGTGACTTGAGCTGCGGGAATAATGGACTTCGCGTGCACGTGGGCTCCCTGTTCATCAACAGGAGAGAACAGGAGAGAACAGGAGGTAGCGAATTAATGGACATAACTTCTAGAGTAAACTAGTCAGATCAAAGTCTATAGCCTGTATATCAGGAATCATAGGGACATCTTAGGAACTCATTTACTCATTAATAGCCCATCAACGCCGTAAAATAGGTCGGGCTGGTTCAGGAGAGCAGATTAATGTAGACGATCCCTAAAGAGTGCTTCTGCACCGCCAGTTCAAGTCAAAGGGTGTCCGTTTTCATACAACATGGCGAGGACGACAGATACGGACAAACACAAAAATATCGTCTTGACTTACAAACCCCTGCGCCGCTGCCGGGCAACTTCTATGGGAACTTCTGGCTTCATATATCTGCGGAACGCGTGAATAGTTAGACGTGTAGAGCAATGATTTGGGGGGTACCCCCAGTATCTCATGCTTGCAGGAAGAACTCGGTGGGCGAGGAAGCACGAGCCGGAGAAACACACGGATTGACATAGAGATAACTCTGTCGCTGTCAAGATAACTCGCCGATGAGAGCGTTGGCGGTCTTCCACCCAGCGCGCTGATTTGACCAGCTCATAGCCAATATGAACGCAAGCCACCAGGCAGAAGAACTTACCCGTGGGCCCTGGGCGTGGGTAGACACAGCAAAGAGCTCTCTGAAGGTTTCGCGCGTCATCAACGGTTTGAGAAGGTCATTATGCCGAGTCTTCTATGGTACCTGGTCTTGATCGTGTCGAGATAGAGGAGGAGTGTGAACGAAAGAAGCGCATCCAGGGGCACACCGAGCGCATGGCGATAGTCTCATTTCAAAGCGGCAATCGAATACGCACGCAATTGAAAGAAAGCCCAGCCATGTGAGCAGCCACTCCCAGCGTGGTGGCGGTGTGAGTTTGGCACCCCAAATCAGATCAGCTGACGTTAGATATCGACAGAAAGCAAGGCGATAGTCCTCGCGATTATCTGTGGACGGTGAGCTGAACGAGCGGGAAGGGGTAGTCACGGGTACATGAGCCGACCGCGTTTCAACGACGTGAAAGCTACGAGTGAGGTTGTTGGCGTGTCGTGCGTGGATCCCGAAATGTCGTCCTCGCGCGTTGTGCCAATGAATATGAATGAATGGACTTGTCGGTTGTCCTGACCTTGTGACGCTATCCTCGGAGCTGCCGTGGGTTCGAGAGGGCGTTGTAGCAAGCCCTCTGTGAAGCCGTCCATGAAAGTCACGCTGAGCACGGCCGACCGGAACTACATTCAAGCAACGAATGCCGATCATCCTCCTGTTTTCAACTTTTTCGTGTAATCGTGTAAATCCGATTCACAAAATGCGGCAGAATACACCGAGTCTGGGGTGCACGAGGCTTCGACATAAAGTTATGCAACATACGGATGTCAGCGACCGGCTTGCGGGTATTGATAGGCAGCAATGTCTCTTCGCACGGCCAATTGAGTATCGGGGTTGGTTGCTAGAGTAGCCGTGAGATCCGTTCAATGGCAATTAATCCAGACACGCGAGGCTGCGAAACGACCAAAGTAACATATCAACAAACACTGGGAATTGGGAAGGCGAAGTAAGTCCTGGGACCATAGGTGAATACACCATTATTCTCACTGAAGCATGATGTCGGTGTGACGAGCCAGAGACGTGGATGTAGACATCCAGCGTCACCCCGCTATTGCATTGGAGTCGATTAGTCCGAATAATATCCAAAATGATGCTGCGGCGACCCACAGTGTTCGAAGAGCTTGCAGCGGCTATCTCGCCCAATGGAGCCGGACACTGAACAATGGATACCGAATATGAATGGTGGAGTGGCCACGGTTGCAGTATGGCTATTGCATTGCTTCCTGTCCACGAGTACGTATATCCCAAACGCCGTCTACGATAGCCTGATACTGACTGACCTGTGTAACCGAGGTGAGAGGCAATCCGTGACGAAGAGACACACAGCGCTCTTTGCCCGCGAAGGAAATCAGTAAGTCTTCCGTCCTTCAGCATAATTAAGGCAATTATCTTACCTTCTTCGGACGCGGTAGTAGGAGCGACACCTGACCACGATAGACCAGAACGTGGCGTTCCACGATGTCGCCATAACTGACGGCATCCGCACCTGAGGGTGCATCAGGGACGGTCCGTTGGCCTCCTCCTAACAAGGAACAACGCCTTGGATACTAGCAAGCAAGCAACAGTCAACATGGAGTAGAGCGTAAATAGCCTGCTGCGGTCTCGGAGTATACCTTGGGAAACACTATCACTTATCTATCGTGCACTTTGACGGACTAGTCGATAGTCAATGGCCCGTCCCGCAGATAGTCTTGCACGGCAACTCCCAGCGGCACTGGCACGCGGGATATTGCGCGATAGACGGTGCTTATTGCACGCCCAATAAGCCCAAGCCTAGATAACAAACGGCCAGACACCAAGAAAGGGCGGGATAGAATAGGATAGAATCTATAAGCGAACGCGGGGAAACAAGAAATTAGACGGCGATCTCCTGGGAAAACGGTATAAGCTGGTGTCGTTAGGAGGTTCAGTAAGGATCGCGGAGACGCACATAAAATAAAATGGAAGGTCAAAATTGAACAGGGCGCCGCCATAATGAAATTTAAGGGCGTCTTCTTTGCATAACGTCAACGACCTGCACCGTCGTCAACATCCTGGAGAGGGGTTCCCCCTCGGGCCCGATATCTGTGGTTTATATGCGAGGACAGGTGACCAGCTGGCCGTGGCTTGATCGCAGGCTGAGATTGCCTCCGAGATCTCTTCAATTGGTGCCTGCTAAGGGCTCTACGACTTGACGCTTCAATAAGCTTCGCCGTTGCCGTATACTGATATCGTAAAGCTAAGCAAGCGGCGAACACAGTCAGTACCCATGTATAGATACACCATGAGAAGAGAAGAGCACCTGCTCACCCCGTCAAGACGGTCGAAACGGACCCCGACCACTGCAGGGATGGCGAAATGACGAGAATTGGTGTTCGAGTCGCTGGGCAGATGATATGCGACGGCGAAACGTGCATAGATGGAGTCCGTCAGGGATTCAATGTGTGGTAACGTTACCAGTCGAGGCGCTCATTCTTGAAGATTCTGTCAAAAGCTTGTGTCGCGCACAACCGCAGTTCCCTGGTCCGCGCAACAAGGACCTCAGAGATCGACCCTGCCGAGTGTCCAGTGTCTAGATGGTGGTATCTCTCCCTCCCACCAGGCGTCGCCCCGATTGATTCTCCGATGATGAGCCAAATACCTCCATTATCGCGGGTCGCGCAAGGCGACGCCGTGGTGTAGTACAGAATCTGTGGCTCCTTTAGAGCTGTCCCGGCCTACGATAGGATAGGCTCTCGCCGAATCAGAATCAGAATTGGACCCGGTGGACCGGTGGGATTGATGGTGCTGTCTCTGGGCAGGTAATGTGATGCCCGACGTCAAAAGCATCAAGGCAAGCAGGATTCCCAAAGGGCTGTGGGACCTGTCTGCTTTTGATCTGCTTTGGGTATATTTCGTTCGTTTGCTAGTTCGAATCTTCGTGGAGGGCCGGCGGCGAATTGGTTGACAAAGAGGGCAGGGAAGATAGGGCGTTGTTGTGGTTGACTGAGCGATCAAGGCGATCTCGATGGAGATGCTGAGGCTGAATCAGTGAATCAGTGAATCAGTGAATGCGAGAGATAAGCCTCGCAGATAATTGGCTAAGGTGGTTGTTTCCATGTCGTTATTGCGTTATTGTACCTGGGAAGGGGTGTCAAATGATAATCAGTGGATGTGAAGCGATACGATATCGGCGATTTGTTAAAGATAGACTGAAAATAGTGCTGGAGGCAGTACTGCGCGTCGCTCCACTGTAGTAAGGATGAAGAGATTACACATGCAATGAACGAACAATGAGGCGAGTAAGGAAGGGTTCTGAACGTGCGTACGCACGTTGTCATCCAGAAATATCCGGCAAGCGATACAGACGTATATCTGATATTGAAGCGACTGAATAGTGAACAACCCTCCCTGCTGGCGACTGGATGCGAGGTCCTGTTTGGATGTCAGCAGCGCGCCGACAGTGCGGGCATGAAGAAGAGAGAAAATCATACGAGGAAGCCCTTCAAAGGAAGGAACAGCAGCGAATCGTGATGTGCCCACATCCCACCGTCGATCATCAACACATCTGGCGACACCAACATATCCGGCGGAAAACCATCATCAACCATCAACATGGATGGCAGAATTCGCAATTCACCTATTTGACGTGCGTGTGTGTGTCGGAGAAGGAAGGATATCCTGCGCTGGAAGGGCGTGTGTATGGACCGCGACTCGACTCAACTCTACTGCAGCTGGTGATGGGTGATCTCCCTGTCGGGAGTCGGGAGTCGGATGTGTAACGTGTAAGCTTTGAATACGACAACATGGAATATGAGAATATAGAAAGTGGTTTCGCCGTCGAACCTCGAACGTCTGGGTTCCCGGTTACAGAAAGAAGGGGTGCAGAAAGAAGAAGGGGACAAAGCAAACCTAACTTTGGAAGCGACATCGCGGATTTAGGGTGACAAGACGATCAGAGATTAATCGCGAAGAGAGGTGTGAAGACATTGACCAGGATGCGAGTCCTCGCCCACGCCACCACGGTGTGGGCTCTCTAGGAAACTGACTGGCGTTGCATGAGATGGATACACATGCACATGGGGCACCGTACGCAGGACCGGCCGTGGTGGTCTGATATGTGCGGCAGATCGGAATTCCGAGGGTCAATGGTCGACTTGAGTCCCCCTCTCCCCACCATCCGATTTGCGCAATCAATATTCAATCGACAAGGGGTAAAAGCGTCGGCACCACGGGCTTTAAATCTATCTTTGTCTATCTCGCGACCCAGTTCCCAGCTCAGGCAGCTCGCACCCTAGCTTTCCACGCCAGCTAAGTGCGTGAATGTGCGTATTGCGTACCTGAGGCGTCCAGGACAGGACAGTCGTTCTGGAACGGCGGCTTAAAATAGAGCTTGCAGATAGATAGAGCAAGAAGACCGCGCGGGAGTCCAGAGTATTCATTGAATGTTTCCTGTTGTGTACTGGACGTGTACCCATGGGTCTGCGTGGATTACAGCATGCAGCCAAAAGTGAGGCATCGGGCACCCACGCGGAACGCAGCGTCGGCGAGTCGTCGGTACATCTGCCATTGCTTGATAGAAGCATGGGTGTCTTTGTGCAGAGATACAAAAAGTCGCAGGCCGGCAGGGAGCCCAGCGACGTGGAGATGAAATACAGCGAACGCTTCTTTTCTCGTGTGGAAAAAGGGACCCGAATGCGCGACGGAGTGTTTTGGCGTCGCGAATGAAGTGACTCTCATCCAACTGAGAAAGCTCGGAGTAATAGGAAATGGCAGGTTGTTCCCACGGTCAGTAGGGTCCTGCGAGGCCGCGTAATCTCATCGACCCATCCAAAACTGTGAGTATATATCCCGTCGCTCTCTTTCTTCTGCCCCCGATCCTCCGTACCCCCTCCTCCGCCTTTTCTGACATTTCCACAGTCGAACTTGTCAAGGAATGCCTGCCATGCTCTCAACCCAACCCCACGGCCTGCCGCACCCCCACATGCAGACAGAGCAGGGCCCACAGCAACGCCAGTTCAACCCCTACACCGAGAACGGAGGAACAATCCTCGCCATCGCAGGCAAAGACTTTAGTGTGATAGCAGGCGACACGCGACAGAGCGAGGGGTACAGCATCCAGACGAGATACGCGCCAAAGGTTTTCAGATTGTACGTTCTCCTTCTCCTTTCACATCGGCGGCGCCATTCACGATGATGGGAATCGCAGAACCGATCGTGCTGTCCTCGCGGTAAATGGGTTCGCCGCAGACGGCAATATGTTCGTGAAGAAAGTCAGACAGCGTCTTGAGGTGAGATTCTCCGTTACTACAAGATCGTAGGTTATTCACCTTTGTCGATTAAGTGGTACCGCCATGCCCACGCAAAGGATATGCCTCTCCGTGCAATCGCGCGCTTGATCCAAACGATGTTATACGCGCGTCGATTCTTCCCGTACTATGTATACAACATCCTAGGCGGCATAGAAGAAGACGGTACGCATTCCCAGCATCATATCTGTTTGTAACCACCATGTCTAAGCGATCGACTATCGTTCTGCAGGCTCTGGCGCCGTCTATTCATTCGACCCGGTAGGCTCGTATGAGCGTGAGGCCTGCCGTGCGGCGGGCGCGGCCCAGTCCCTCGTACAACCCTTCCTAGACAATCAGGCGAGTCTCCCGTGTCCCCGGCAATGCCACATCTCTCTAACCATTTCCATCCCAAATCACGTTATTTCCTACCTCCATTGCACTCTCCCATACCCCGTGCTCTCATTCAATTGATTTGTGGTCCACTTATATACCCCAATCGTCGTGAATCGCGACATTAAACTGGGATCCCGACCCTTCCCCGACGATTATCCCGCGCCCCTCCGGTCCCCGGGGCTATTCGCTATTTCTGTTCTCTCTTTTCCTTTTTATGTCTACCATCATCTTTCCCTTTTTTGGACTCACGCCGATCTCCGATCCCGATTGTATTGTCATGGAATCCTACGCCTTCGCGCTGTTCTGCCTGCCCACTTTGTTCGGGGTTTCTCTTCTCGCTTTCTCTGGCGCGCGTCGTCGCCTCTCGGGTCTTCGCCTTCTTTCGCCATTTGGTATTTTTCGCTTGTCCTTGTCCTTTTCCTTTTCTACTACTTTATCTCTTCGTCACTCATCCGTGTCCGGGGTTTACTCGATATTTTATGTGGCATTTCTCTGTGTTGTCCCCCATCACGCGCTTGCTTGCCCACATTCCTCCGGCGTTACCTGGCATTCCAACGGTGCAGATCTACTTCAAGAACCAGACACCCGCACCGGGCACGTCACATCCCACGCACCTTCCCCTCCCTACCGTCCTCAAACTGGTCATCGACTCGTTTACGGGCGCCACGGAGCGACACATCGAGGTCAGTTGATCCCTCTACCCTTTATCTGCGTTATCCTTTGATTGTTCCATCCCATTTTCTCCGTTATCCGTGTTATCCGTTATGGGCGTTCCCTTGGCCTCGCCAACCTGTTCCATCGCTTTTTTCTATTTTCACCAGCGGCCCATACCCGTATATCTTCATTCTCTACCCCTCTTCACCTCATTTCGCCGATATGGCCGTTGCGAGTATCTGTGTACACGTGGACTCACCCTCTTACTCTACGACAGGTCGGCGACGGCCTCGAGATCTACGTTGTCCTCGCGAAGGGCGCGTCGACACAGGCCCTCGAGGGCATCCGCGGCATACAAGAAACCACCGTCACGAACGACGGCGAGCGCGTATTCATCATCCAGCGGGAGCTGAAGAAAGACTGATCTGATCGTCAAAATTTCTCCCTCTCCCTCTTCCTTACCTGTACTTATCGCTTACCCTTACCCCGTATCTCCTTACTCCGCACGTCCGTACCTCCGTACCGTATCCTGCCGACGTCTCTCAGCTTCTTTCAGCTGCTCTCGCATCCGTATAACGCCCATGCATCACATCATGTAGCACTCTACACATCCTCTCCCTCTCCCCCCGCCTCTCCCAATCGCCATCCATCTCCGATCGCGCCTTTTTGTTCATCGTGTTCATCGTGTCATGCGGACTTGTGTGCAATAGGTCTCAGTACTCAATATATTCTTGCTCCCCTCTTCCCCCTAGCTCCCGTTCGCTCCCGTTCGCTACCACCTGCATGCATACATCGTACATTTCGCATTTTTGCCATAGGTAGTAGGTAGCGCCTGCATAGATGTCAATGTTTCGTTTCTCAGACCATGCTTTGCGCACACGCTTGCGATAAATCAATCGCAGTCAGATGAGGTGGCTGCTGTCCCGCACTCCACCATGCTCATGATGCATGTATACGCCTTGGTCTCTGGGTAGAGCAGTGAAGCCTTGCGCGCGACGGCCAGCAGGCGCTCGGTCACAATAGAGCGAACCTAGTCACGGCTCCATCCAAGATCGAAAGCCTCCGAGAATCGAAAGCGCTGACGATCTCGCGCCACTGCCCGTGCCATGATGCCATCTGCACCCTCCCGGCGTGCGCTGCTCACCTGACTTGACCTGAGAGACGGAACGTGCAGTCGGGGACCACACGACACGCGACGGACACGCGACCCCCGACATGCCCAGCGCGCACATCCGAGTCGTGGTCCGTAACTAGCACGCACTAAGCAACCCGTAACGTCAGTACCGACGTCAAACGCAAGTCAAACGAGCTGTAAAATGCACCGAAGGGTATGGATCTCAAGTTGGACGGTCTTGCCGGCGCCACACGGTGAAGCAGGATGCGGCGTGGTCCGACCGGGGGCGGCCTACAGGCCAGTACTTGCGAGGCTAGCCGCGACCGAAGCTGGACCAAGGACACGAGCAACACGCACGATGCAGGCCAGCCATGTCAATGACCAATCGTCTGGTTATACTTATCCGAATCACAGAATGCGAAGACTTTCGACGGCAACATTCGAACCACCCCTCACTTAATTGACTCGGACATCAGTGTCGACATCAAAAGCAAGCTGAAATGCGAGACTCTCGATCGATCTCAAAGTGAATGGGGATGGATTTCGAGTCCCCGATGTCAGACGCGCCTCGTCTGACGGAGTAGAGTCTGCCTACTTGGGTGCGTTCTCATAAGCTACTGTCTATGCTATGGTGTTCTTTCTCAGCAACGTTGCTTAATGATTAAAGAGTGCTTATCGCGGCCTCGCTTACAATGCGCAAGATAACTAGAAGATAACAAAGCATATCGCCGACAAAACGGCTAATCGTGATAGAATTCCATCGAACACTATTGCCCGGTGCGAGTAATCTCAGCTCTCGAGGCTTGAACATCTGGATCTACGGACTACGAGGTACAATGCCATTTGGCAGCATCTGAGGGGCTCCTAGTCTCCCAAAATGCTGGGCAACCTAGTTCGGCCAAGGCTCGGGAGCACTGCCAATGTGTCGGCCAACATACCCAATGGAAATCCTACACAAGGCTTGGTCAACGCCTCGTACCAGCATAGAGGAATCTCCGGGCAGCGGCCCTCGCCTTGTGATGGTTGCCTACCTTCCTTGGAGCCGGCGTTAAGGCGAACGAAATTCGCACCCGTAGTATTCACGATGCTGATCCAGACTCCCAAATGGCTGCCAGAGCGCCACGATCTCGGATTAAACGGCCTTTACGACGACGCATTCTACTTGCATCTATACTCAGGCTCCTGGTTACTGTCACTGATGTGTCTCGCGGCTTCGTTACGGAGCGTTACAGTCGTCGTAGTATCGACGTCAGTGCGAGCCAGTTTCCATAATGTGTGACCGTTGACATTCGTCGGGTACATGTATGCGATACCACCCAGTGCAACTCGGGGGTCATGATCTTTCAAGCAGAGGCGCCGCCGGATTCCATCCCATCAACGGCATATCGATCGGCGAACACATTAGCGCATGAACGTATCATGATAACAGTGGTCATGTCATTTCATCCATCTGATCTACTGAAACTGATAGCGACAAGAAATCTAAACGAGAGAAAGGAGAGGAACTAGCGCATAAAGTGCAGAAAGCCCCCCGGCCAGTAAAGTCCTAAGACGGGGAAACATGAAGAAAATTAACTAAAAGGTGGCTAAAGAGCGCCGTATTTCATATCACTGCAGTCCGAAGGGTATCATGATAATGATGGGAACAGTACACGGGTGGAGTGATACGAGAAGGGCGCGCAATAAAGTTATATGGAGCGGTCCACGGTCCAAGAAATGTCAAGAAAAAGGTAGGCCAGCCTTTGCACATATAAGCTACCCACATGCATTGTCTGGATTGACTATTGAAGAACTAAGATGGTATGCACGATTAAAGTGACGACTACAGAATCGCGATCAACGACGGACGAAAGGCATGGCCTGTGGAATGCACGCACGCCCTTTACAGGAACAAGGAGGCAACCGTGCTTAGAGCAGCGGCCCCAACAACACCTCCGATCGTACGGATGTCCGACCCAGCGCCCTGCAGAGCACCGTTTGACCGTCTCTCTATCACGGGACTTCCTGTAGTGACGTTCCGCAGTAGGCGGGTAGGAAGCATCGTTGGGGTCTGCGAAAGAAGGAACAACGGAGCCACAGGTGTGCCGTCGAACTCGAACAGGTGCAGTTTCAGGCCTTGCGTAGCGTCTTGGAATTGTCGATATTGGCTGTAGATCTCGGTGAAGTTGTAGATTTCGATGAAGTTCGATTGCGCTGCGCATGGGTCCTGGATTTGTTGGTAACCGTCCCCGAAAGGCGTCATGACAATTGAACCATTCGCCGGCAGCTCGTACGTGCCATGCACCCATTGCATGATCCCAGTGATGCAATTGGGTTCCGAGCCTACGGGAACGGTCAGTGACAGGTAGAAAAGTACGACCAGTAGGCCTACCGTTTGATTTGAATCTATATCGTGCAATTTCGTAGTGGTTGTCGTCAGAGCTGAAACAGACATGTCAGCGCAAATGCGGAAACTTGTCCAGCGGAACGTACAAGGAGAACGAGACACCAGTGTTCTTTGGGTATTCAAAAGTCATATTGGCGGGATTCGCGAAGCCCTGTAAAGGAATATGAGAACTCGCCACTTCTAATCTGAACCCTAAGCAAACGACGCACAGGGCCGGTGGACACCGCTCTGCTTTGCGAAGTCCATGTTCCAACGAGATTCGGTGTCGCCACTTGGGCTTGCGCGGCCAAAGCGGGAATCAGGAGAGTGTAAACGAGTGTACTGAACATTGTTGTTGTAGGGTTGGCGTTGCGGATGGGAGGGGGTCTTCGGGCCTGATATGATGTAGCGTCGATTTCAACCTGACGCTCGAGCAATTCCTTCTAAGAGTGCCCCTTGCGAGTACGGTGGGTGAATTAGAGGTGAGTACGACGAGGAGAAGAGGGTCGATGAAGGGTGAAAGCGGCGAACGTCGTCGAGGTGGCTGGCGGTGTGAAAACGAGTGGAGTTTGTTGACGCTTGTTTGCTTCTGCATGGCCAAGGCTTCTTCTCCCCGGGCGCTTGGACGACAGCGCTTATTATTTTCCAATTCACGGTCTTTACCACCTACCACCGTGTCCGTCGTTGACCATGAAGATCCTGATGACCCAGGCGGTGTCGAGAAGGTAAGCAACGTCTCCAGATAAATTCTTGATGAAACCATTGCGGATGTAAATGTCGAAAGACTGTCATTCCGAGAGCGCAAAACCATGTGGATTTTTCCGTTGCCTTCCTTCTGACTTTTTTTGGTCGAATCACTCCTTGGAACTTCGTACGCTGACTAGGATCGCAACTAGATTGACTTGAGAATGCTTGGTTGTTGAGCGTTACGTTCATTTCTGACAACGAAGGCAAAGTCGGTAAGCATCTTCTCTTGTTCGAAAGTTTTTTATACATGTACCAGATGAAAATATCACGGATGTAATTGGGTCCCAGAGACTCACGTATCCGAGAGCGCAAAAATAAGTGGATATTGCCGTTGCCTTCCTTCTGAATTGCTCAAGCTTCTTTGTCTTCGATTTGTTTTCATCGATCTAACTGCTCGATACTCTTAGATGGAGATGGAAGCTGTTGATTAGTTACTGCGACATATCTTCGCTATAGTCTGCATTGAATAACGTTCCCACATCTTGTACGGCAAAGGCGGGCGCCATCGGTGCGAAGCTATCGTGATCGAAGTATGTCCGATTTCCGCTTCTCTCAAACATCAATCCAGTCTAATAAGGAGGCGAAAATTCCAGTGTCAACCACAGTTGATTCAGTGCATCTTGACCGGCGCAAGCCACCATCATTGGCATCGATCTCGAGCTTGACTTGCGCCGCTGTCCGTTTTCTATCTCCCACTCAGCCCGAACCCTCTCGGAGGCGACTAGGCGCCGTTTGCACGGTGATTATTGCGGGTGGACTGAGCCAATCCAATGAGCCGCTACATTGTTACTGTGGGGTTGTAGTCTCGCCGATTTGGCGGCTCGCTCCCCACCCCCCGCGTCAACCTCCTCCAATTGTAGCTTGGCGCGCTTCGCGTTCCACCCCCTTCTCTGCATTACAGCGTCTTACGGTCCACATCTTCGAGATCTAGAGCCCGAACACCTCGATTAATTACACAGTGAGTTCTTTGCTTCGTCTGCCCCTCAATATATCAAAGTCCACGCCGTAATTGAGGCAGTTATCTCTCCACTCCTGACACGCGCGCAGATTCGTTACGTTTGCCACGCATCTTGCTGCATCTCTTTGTATATGGCCTGTGGAAACTATTCTGACCATCTCATTGGTTGCGCAGCTGTGACGGGTCAACTATATTTAGTCCATGTTGCGCCACATGATGACCGCTTGTCCGACTAAAAGCAAAAGTCTGGCGCCCCCATATTGTACGTGCGTCTTTATTGGCTGCCTCGGCCTCTCCTGATCATCTCTCTTCCTCTAGACTCCAAGCCTCAAGTTCAGGCTTCACTACACGCGCGCATGACGCGTGAGTCTTGCCTCTGAACCCCTTCTCGCTGATAGACCTTCCCTTCCCGATGGTGGGCTCTTCGTTCTCTGTTGTAATAGGGCAATCAGGAATGATCGGTGAATAAAGATACCATGATTGTATACTCCCCGGCTCCACATGTGAACAAATTAATCGTTACGGCAATAAAAAAGTTGTGAATGGAACGAGTGCTATGCCATCCCTGTGGTCATAATTGCACAGCTGTTGAAGCGCGGCTTCGCCGTGTGCTTCAACCGATGCTTGCGGAATTCTGCGCGGTAGATGTTGTCGTGTTCTCCTTGTCTCTTCCTCGAAGGATTTGCTCACGGAGTGCTGAATTTTGAACTTAGGCATCATTACACCCGTGTCTACGACGGACGAAAGCTTCGTAGTGCCCAGAGAGATCCATAAGCCCACGGCCCAGAATTGCAAGGAAGCCATGGGAGGCATCACCTTCGCTTTCTGATACGCGTGTCGGCGCCCCGCAACATGAATCTCGGCTTCGGGAAACACAACAGCATGCGCTACTTCTAAAGTTGCTTTTCAACTTATTTGGCGATTAGACCACGATCTGATCCCTCTCGACAGCTGCCTATCAATACTTGGAAGCGGAGATCATATGCGGACATAACGTTATGTTTTTGGTTCATCGGAGCCTTGCAATTCGCAGAGTGCCCAGGTCCCAGCTTCAGGTGCCACCCTCCTACAGTCCTTTAGGATGGCGTTCACCGTCGCTGCTGTGGCGCACGCGACGATACCGATATTCAACACCCAGAGTACCTCGCTTTTGAGGCGCCGTCGTTCAATGAACCTCTTTTTTTTACCGCTCGGCGGGCATCATACGTTTATGACGATTTTCATGTCAGCCGTCCAATAGAATCCAGCCGTCATCCTCTCCCTCACGACTCCACTTGTTTGAATGGGGGATCTAAATTAGGTGACAGCTATTTCGTACTCTGTTATTCAACACTACTTTGCGAACAAGGATGGAACTCATGATACTGCTTGCCTTTTCTGGCGAGCTCTTCAAACGTATAAATACCTCCCGTTCGTACCAAGTTTCCTCAGTTAAGCTTCTACAAGTCTAACTACCACTGCAACAACCAAGCAATCGTCCAGTATAATGTTCTCCCGCACCTCTTCGTTGTTCATCGCAATGGTGGCGTTCACCACACTTACCGCTGCCATTCCCAGTGTGGAACGCCGCACCAATCCCACCACGACGGTGACCGTGGTCAGTTCCAGCCCAACAACGTTTCCTAGAGCATCTATTGATTATTGCCCTCCTTGTTCATAGACTACAAAGCCATCGTCGACGCCCATTTCCCCGAACCAGTGCAACACTAACAACATCCAATGCTGCAATTCTGTCCAGAGGGTACATTGCGCTGCCTTCTGTCGTTACCACTACTCACATCGTGGATAAATACAGAGTGATGCACCCGTCTTCACGGGCCTGTTTGGATTGCTCGGCATAGTTCTCCAAGGTGTCGTCCCTATTGGCCTCGCTTGCAGCCCTATCTCCGTCATTGGCATCGGTGGTATCTCCTGCGACGCGCAGACCGTCTGCTGTGAGAACAATAACTTCGTAGGCATAACTTTTCTCTCCGAGGGAATCGGTTCTGAATATTTGTTTTGTTTAGAACGGATTGATTGCAATCGGCTGCACCCCCATTAACATCGGCCTCTAGAAGGGTACCATGCTTCCAACCCCAGCGACGGTTCGTAGTCGCCACGGGCCCCAAACATCGTTATCTCTACGAATATTGAGACTTTGTTAGCTTTTGTGTTCGAATGTTTAGTTGTTTCGAAATCTGGTTTGTGCCAAAATATACGTGTTTCCCTTACTATAGTCTCCATTGCTAAGTGATCGTACAGCTGAAGGGCACAGTGTCCCCACCGCCAACACTGGATTGCTTTTGCCGCAGTCAATTTTCATCCTTTAGCCCCTGTGCACCAAAATTAATTTACAGCCTCGTTCATTGTTCAATAAGCGCTCGGTCTGCAGATCTCCCTTTCCGGAAGGTTGGTTGAAGACTTAGTACTTAAACGCCAAGCACCACGCAGTCCAAACGCAGTCCGACCTCCCACCCCCGAAAGAGACACCGTCAATCGATTCTGGGGACAAGACTCGACGAGCGCCAGGGTCTGTGGCTTCGATTTGACCTCCGATTGTATACCTTGCCGTTTCGCGTCGCCTCCCATTCTAATGTGAATCGAAAAGACACAGGGAAGAGGGAGATCATCTGCGGTCATAACGTTATGTTGTTGTTCATCGGAGCGATGGGATTCCCAGCCTCCGTATTGTAGTATCAACCGCTCCCGACCAGCAGGCCCAATGTTCTCTCGGTGGGCGTTCCCCATAATTCCAACACGCCACCACCTCCTCATCCTGCTTCTGTCATTATCATGATCCCTCCGTTCGATCCCCCTCTTACTTATTCACGATTCCACGTGTTGGGACAGCGACCATTCCGCTTTCTGTTGTTCAATGCATTAAGGCATTAATGCCGTTCTTCAAGTCACAAGAGTATAAATACCTCGCGATTAGGATCAAGGTTCCTCAGTTGACCTATAAGTCTGACTAACATGATGCTCTTTTGCCTCTCTTCTTCCTTCATCGCACTCGTCGCATTCGCTCCTTTCGCCGCCCCCCAGGTCAGTCATGATCGGTAACGTTTCTCACAGCAAGGGCTGATTTCTCTCTTTTGTAGGGTTCGGGACTCACCCTATCCAATGCTGCTTGTCTACGATAGAGGTACTTAGTCCTTTTACTTGATATTATCTTCTCCTCATGTCACGGCTGGTGACAGGCCAATTCCACAGCCGCAACCATTCTCCTTGGTCTACTGGGCATTAATCTCGAACCTATCAAAGGACGTAGTGGCATTGGTTGCTCCCCTATTTCTGTCATCGACACCGGCATTGGCGCTTGCAGTGGCACAGTCGTCTGCTGCGAAAATAACATGGTAAGCTATGGCTTTGCGGCTGGCTACATAGATTGCATTCCGACATTTGATTACGTCTACAGCGGGACGATTTCGATCGGTTGTGTTCCCGTTGTCCTCTAAATTCCGGTGCGCCACCGCCATTGTGACCATCTAAGATTCTGTTGTACTGCGGGTTTTCATAGGCTTTCGTAGCTGCTAATATAAACGTTTACTTCGATTCAAGATATGTATTCTATCTGAATGATACTTGACGCGAGCATAAATTACCTATCTTCTCAGAGTGTGGAATGGTCTTCGAATGGTATGATAGTAGGTACAGTCAACGGTCGCTAGAAAATTACAACTCCCAGGCCATCTAGTCGTCCTCCGAGCTCATGAAACACGTCAAGTGTCTCTGCATCAAAATGGTAAAGTCTCGGGTATAGTTCATTACCTCAATATGTTGCTTCACTTACTTCTCAGTGCGGCTGCACGGCTTCTCGCAAGTTTCATTTGATGATGTTTGTTGATTATTTATGATTTAAGCTATGATTAGCGTTACAGAGAGTTTGTCTAGTACATAGAGCTACGCATAAGTGCTGTATAGCCGTCTTCCTTCTACCTGCAGAGTAGGTAGCGCAGTTTGGCAACAAGACCCCTGTCAAGTCCCTAGTCCTCTACCTATCACGTGTGCGTTGGGCTTTCTTTCGAGTTCAACTTCGTTTCCAAGTCAGATTCTCGAATCCAATAGCTGCTCAGGGATGGACCGGCCAGGCGCCGTGTTTGCCAGCCCGAAAGAATTCATACTTACTCTTAACTTTCACGCAACCTCCACGGCTCAGACAACTTAATGCGCCGGCCGCAATTCAGCGTCTCCCAATAACGTCGATATCATTCACATTTATCTACGCCACCTTCGCTCACTCCCTCATTGTCTTTCTCGTATCCGATGGTAAACCACATCAACATGTGATGTTTTTCTTTGATATGCTGTTCGATTTGTCCGGCGATCAAATGTCTCGGGGATCCGAGCAGCTAGGTAGACGCAGGAGATCGTGTGCGAACATAACGTTATTGTTGTCGCCCATCGGGGCTTTGTATCAAGCGCTCCAACCTCTTGTTCCAACGTAGTTGGCGGATGTTCAATGCCGCAGTGGTTTACGGCCATCCTCCGTAATTCCAACACGCCACCGCCCCCTCAGCGCGATTTCTCTCGATACCTAACCCCTCCGTCCGATCACCCTCTTGCTCACTCGCGACACTACATACTTTTATAACGAATTCAGGTTAACCCCGAGTCAGCAACGTTTCAAGAGCAACTACTAATCATTCTCCTATTGGATATGTCATGGACTGCAACTGCGGCGTCCATTCCCGCCTCACAATATACCTGCTCTCTCCAATTCCAAAATAGTGCTGTGGAAGTGCGTATTCTTCGCTTCCCGTTCGTGTTATCTTTCGCTCACGTCGCTATTGTTGACAGGCTATTTCCGCCCGCTGGAGCAGCATCCCCAGTTTTCTGAATATCATTTTCCGGGACCCCAACATACTTATCGGCGTTAGTTGCTCGACTACCACTGATAGTTCTGGGTGTGCGGCCCTCCGCTGCGAGAACAACCCCTCCCTTATTAGACACTCTCCTTCCAAGAGAAAATGTAAAAATGAATTTGGCGCCAAGTCTTACTGTATCCTGAAGTTTATGTACCGTGGAATTTCCGGTCCTAAGGTCCTAGGGTGTCATTAGGCGGTAGGGCAACTTGCTGCACCCTTCAATTGTACGCCCCTTCGATGTTTGGGCGCTATTCGGACGTACCAACACAAGTTCTGAGCGGTTCCACGGCTCACCGATCATTCCCAGCGTGCAAAGGCGTCGATGCATCAAGTATGAAAAAACAGTAGGCCAATGTATCCCGAAACCCGTCGTTGTCGAGCCGTTGATCGGTTTGAGCAACTCCGTAGTTTCTCCGAGTTACATTCAACCACCCTCGACATCGAGATGTCACTTTCATAACGAAAGCGAACGGTGAAATAATTATACTTGGTCCGTAGTATGAACCTACCAGGCGTTAGGAGACACGCGACAGAATCAATTGAAAGAGACGAAGATCGAATCGTCGAGGTGTAGCAATTCCGTGAAGGGAAGAAGTGAATCTGAGGTAATTTACCACGAGGATAGCTTGCTCCGCAAAGAATTGAATGCTCAAACACGTCAACATCAAGGACCTCGAGACGGGAAAATAAGAAGTCTCCTCGTTGGGAGGAGGAATACCTATTTAACCAGCCACGCCGAGGTTCAGACGCGATTCAGACGCGGGGTCGGTATCGCCGACGACATATCCGAGTAGGGATGGCGAGCCGCTTGGAAGTCAGCATAAATATTGAGCAGGCCCCTGCGTGTCTGTCCATGCCGTTCGCGGTTTTACATCGGGAGGTAGGAGTATTGGTCATTCAATCCGGGTGCCAGAGGAGATAAGGATAAGTCAAGACGTGATGCAGCGTTCGAATTCTTGCGCAACGTGCGGCGATGAGTACCCAGGAGGCTTATGTCTAACGCCCAGCAACCCGCAATCACAATCTCTCGGTTTGTTTGCACGCACTGTACGGACCGAAATGACGATTGCGGGGACAGCCTTCGAAATCCTGGGGCATCGCTACGCTCACTCGAATCCCAACGGATCGACACCAAGTCCGCATACGTTGACATCCACATTGTCACCCCCGCCAGCCTGATGGGATTCAGGTCATCTGAATCCAATCTCTGTCCTTCGTTGGCGACGGCTTGGAGTAGGCGACAACCAGGGTACAGATATCGTGCTTTTAATTCGCCGTTCAATGCTCAAGACCGACCCGAATAGAGAGAGAAGCTCCATTTGACCATTGTCCTCTTGCCGGCCGGAGCGACATAGAAAAAGGAAGAATCTTTGCCAATATGGTGTTGACGAAAGTAGCCGAAAAGATAACGAACCAAACCAAGGTGCTTTGATACAGCCGTTGACATGCTGTATGTGATGTAACGCGGTGGTAGTCTTGAAGAAGGATGTGATAGAATCGCGATTCGTGCGGTCAGAGTGGACCATGGAGCGCTTTCCTGGACCTTCCAGGGCCTCCGATCAACGCAGACGAAGACTATGTACGTACGCGCCGCCGTCTACCATCCCCACGAAGCCATGAGATACGGTCAGCTGAGCTTCTCCTGCCCGAGGATCAGAGTTACTTACTGGTATATGGCGTCCGCAGGATGAGGTTCAGGATGAATAGATGTTCATATCGTGTTATCAAGGTTGAATATTAATACTTACCCCGCGCGAAAGGCCAAAGATGGAGGGGTAGAGTCTAGAGGACGCTGGGATTAATTACAGAATTAATGACCGCTCTTCTGAAGAGGGCTCGCCCTGGGTGGTATGTATTTCCGCTAAAAGCGGCGAGTGCCTGGGAGAGAACGGATGCAATTCATATTAACTGGGAGGATAGAGGAAAGGGTGAATTGATAAAGCGTGAGGTGAGGTGAGCGAGACAATGGAGGCTTTAGCAGTGCCGTGAAGCGAATTGGAGGTGGGCGAACGGATGTAATTCATGTGGAAAATTGGACGACGCACGATTTGTAGGGAGCCTGGAGCTCCGAAGGTATTGGGTTGTATCGGTTTCCTTGAAAGGTCCTAGAGGTTTTAACGGCGAGTGCGAGTTCTCGACAATCCGACGAAGTCCCGTAAAAACGAAATGGGCAGAGAGAAAGAAGTTCAGGTTCATTGTCCGACTTTTGCAGCGACGGGAGCGAGTCGGAACGCCGCCTCAATAGAGTGGTTGCGCCTCGGCGACTACATCCTCTCATGTAGTATGATTCGGCACTAGAGATAAATCAATATAATTATACATCGCTACAGGGTAAAGATAACATAAAGCTAGAGGTCTGTCCAACCTGTATTTATGTAGCTGAAGGGTATTCAATGTGCGTACTGCGAATAGGCATATATGTAATGCATGTCAGTCGGTAGACAGGTGGTTGGTAGCTTGGCTAGCAGATAGGGCCTACACAGGCGCAACAATAACATGAATATGGACGTATGTATAGATAATTTACCAATCGCTGACGAGGGACGGGAAAAATATACGCAAAACACGGATAAGCGATAGCCAGATGTCAAATGCAAGTAAGCAGAAAGTGCGATGTCATGGGATTAGATATAACGTTGTCCTCCAGGTTCGATTTATCTACCTCCCGCCGCCGCCGCCGCCGCCGCCTCTCGAACCCCATCCCGAATCTACCGGTCCTTTGAAATGTCCTTGTTGGCCTCCAACAACGGTCGAACCCCTCGGCCCTCGAGGGGGATCCGTATTACTACTGACGTTCGGACCATACCTATACTCTCCTTGCTGTGGATGAGGTGGTAGCGGGTGTGTTTGCGGTGCGTTTGGCTGTCGCTGAAGCGGTGGCTGTTGCTGCGACTGGTGTGGTTGTTGGTGCTGCGATGGCGGCGGCGCACTGCCCAGGCTCTTACTATCCTGAGGCTGGAGTGACATCAATGCTGGGTTGAACGCCGCCATCGGCTGCTGCTGAAACTGTCCCCAAAGCTGCGAGATCAGACTCGAATTGATCACACCCGGGGGCATCATGGGCATAGGGATAGACATAGCCTGCGGGTTGGGCGACATGGGTAGCGGAGAGGCGTATGGTGGCATGGGCATCGACATCATTTGGGAAGCGGTCGGCTGCTGCATTGGGTGAGGAGGTACTTGCGATAACGGCGTATGGGTGGTGTTCGTGGTAGTGCTTGTGTTGGATGTGTTCGTATTGGTAGGGGTATTGGCGATGTTCGTGGGGGCGTTGTTGGAACCATTCGCAACGGCTTTGGCGCTGATATTCCGCGTGTTAGCAGCCATTTCTTTCGCCATACGAACCGCGGCTAAACGGTCGACGCGTCGGGAGGCCGTCGTAGGTGCGCCACTCGTAGTCGACGTCGACGTTGGCGCTGGGTCCTTCTTGGGCGCAGGTGCTGCTACGGGAGGGGCAGCTACTTTGCCGTTAGGCTGCTCAGTTTGATTGGAATTCGAGCCAGGGTTCCCCGTTTTGCGCGGCTTGTACTCGGTCTCCGAACCCGAATCGTCGTCGACCTCCTGTCGTTTGCGTTTCCCTCCTCCTCCTCCTCCTCCTCCTCCTCCCGATGCTGCAGCCGCGGCCCGTTTCTCTGCCATCGCCGATAGCCCGTCGCTCACTTTGCCTTTCGTCTCCTGAGCCAACTTCTCGACGTATTCGAGCATCCATTTCGACACGCGGCTGTTCATGCGAATGTCGACATGCGCCTTCCTCACCTCGTCGCGCATCTTTCCAATAGCCGCTGACAGCTGGGCCATCCCCATGCGCTCTCCGCACGCCGATATCAGCACAGGTATTATAACGAACTCCACCGGACTGATCTTCGTCGGCTTCTTAAACACCTTGTTCAACTTCGCGTCGTGCACGAGGTCGCGGAACAAATCGTACACGTCCCTAATCCTTTGCTGCAAGGCGTCCTCGAGCGGCTCAGACGACGACAGCCACTTCTCCAGCTGAGGAATCGACGCGACCGTGGTCACCTCTTTCCATTTCGTGATCAGATGCACCGTCTGAGCCAGACACCGAAAATCAGCCCCTCGACTCCGATCCCAATCTAAATCATCTCCGGCCAGCCCCCTCTCCTCATCGTCCACATAGTCCTTCAACAAATCCCTCACGTACGACGCTCTCGATGTGTTGATGACCTGCAGCTTCTCGGCCGGCGTCAGCGCCATACCGAGCTGCACGCGCTGGAAAATCTCGCGTTCGTCAGACGACGTGATGTCCGCGTACTCGACGCACACAATCTGTTTGTTGGAGAACAGCCGGCGGTATTTTTCGGGGAGCAGCTTCTTGCGTGTTTTTGTCGAGGCGCCGGGTGCAGAGGCGTCCTTGTACCAGAGCTTCTCGCCGGTGTGGGGGTCGCGATCTACGGATGTCATATGTCAATGTCGGTTCGTGGAGAATGGTGGTGAACTGACGAGGGATCTGGGAAGCGTATGAAGCGTCAGTAGGTCGAAAGAGATGACACGTAGACGATCTGACGTACGAGACCGTCCATGAATCTTGAGTCAAGTTAGCACGGAGTTCTGGGGATACGAAGCAGGCGCACCTGTGGATGGATGTGAGGCGCTGCTTGCCATCTATACACGTCTTTGACTCTGATCCATCTTCGTACGGAGTGACGGCTGCACGTGCATCGTCAGAGAGGCACTATAACTGATGTGATGAGACACACCAAATATAACGGGTGGGATATAGAAGTTGCGGAACACAGAGTCTATGAGACCGATCTGCTTGCTTTCTGGCCAAACGACGGCTGTCGGACACTGCATCAGCCTCAAGGAGGAGTAACTTGTGTCCTGACGCACCCCGCTGGTATTCCGGCTCCAAGTTGATATCCGAGCTATGGATCTGATCTGTCGTCTTTTTAGGATGAACATGGATGCAGAAGCGAGCAGAAACGCACCATAGAGAGCTTGTGCGGTATACGTCGTGGCACGAGGAACTTTCAGGGCGTGTCGGATGCGATAGCCACCCACTGCTGCTCCTTTACCGGTTTTGCTGGTCTTGGTCTTCTTGCTCTTGCCATAGTCTGCGTCCTCCTCAAAATCGTCGAGGTCGGTGAGGTCGGAGTAGTCGCTTTCCATCGTTTATAGTTTGGCAAGTGGAGGTCGCGAGTCAACCTTTCCGAACTTCATGATTACAAGGAACGTCGCCACTCGGATTAAATTCTCACAGTCAATAGCAAATCTGATCGTGAGAAGTCCCTGTGGAAGTCAACAATATATCGTTTTTCTGCACAAAGAGTACACTCTACAACACGACGTAGATGGGTGCCCATACAAGATACCATCTCAGCTACGAAGGAATGCCGGAATGCGCAAGAAATTGGTATCACAACAGATATTGTTCGTATCATGATCGGCCGTCATACACACGAGTCCCTATCAGCTATAATCAAGCATACTTGATGGCAGATGATCCGTTACCGATGAATGTAGGTTGTATCGAGGGTTTTACGGCGACAGCGGCTGATTCGTGTAAGGCGCTTAGGGTGTAGTATTTAAATGTGACGGTCGAAGAGGAGGAGCGCTTGCGATGACCTCCTGCGCGATTTCTAGGTGCGGTCTGGCATGTTACACATCGCTTGTCGGTGATCAGGAACGGGACGAGGAGGGCCTGCAACGAAGCTGGTGCAAAGTGCTTGTGTCACCGAGTTTGTGTGTAGTTCTTCGATCCCGGTTGCCGCACCTATCAAAGTCGAGACATTGGCAACATATTCCCGAAGTTGTAGCCTACGCACTCACGCCGTTCAATTAGTAGCCACAATCTTTGTTCTTCAAGTTGTGGGCGTTCTTGGATTCCGAGTTCATCAGTTAGTCCCCACCTGCTCCGTATTTGGTTCGATGGCATAAAGGAATGCGAGTTCTGGTCCAAAGGAGAGGTCCGTTTCGTCGCTTTCGATGCATTCTTGAGTTGGTTGTCGCTAGTCGGTTATCGCTGGCTTCGATGTCGAGGTATCAGTGTCTGGCCCCTGAACCTTCCAAGTTTCTTTACCTTCTGTCTATCCTTCGCGGTCAATCTCGGTATCGTAAAAAGCGGTCGCCACATTAACAGACGAAGTCGTCGCGCCACCTACGCCTCGTAAGTCCCAAAATTTATGACAATCGGAGAAACAGGCATAAATGAGAGAGGCGACGAGGTACAAGTAATCTGCACTAAGCGGATATACTGATCGTGGAAACTCTCTGGTGAGTGTGGGAATTGCTATGCTTCAGCGTCAGGCTTAGCTTGAACCTTGCTCCAGCATTTCTCGGTTTCGAACTCGACAGTCGCCTCGCGTGGTGCCTATCCAATATGCCTTTCCATGTGGAAATTGACGACTTGCCAAAACAGAGACACGGGTGAGTATAACTTCGTTCATCGGAACGACGACGTAGTTGCGATGGATCGCTAATATGTAGCTTTTGAATTCATCTATTCAGTTTATCCATAATTTAACATACCGCGCGCAAACCAGACGTTGAAATCTGCTGGGATATGCTCGATGATCTCCCACCCCAGCCGACGAGCAGTTAACTCGCACCATTTCGGACTTGGGAAGTTGGGGGCTGCTCGGGGGAGCGCAAACCAACCGAACCTATTTAATAAGCTTGAACAATAGCATCACGCAGCGAATTCAAAGCGATAACAGGTCCCACGTTCATAAATTACTCGCTTTAAAGAAACGAAGGGGGTGGAGCGAACACTGTTTCCTTCGAAGTATCACCATGCTTTGGGGCACTTTGAGCGTCGGTATAGCGTCTCTCGTTCCTTACGCCTTGGGATTTTTACACGGCAAGTCAAGGCCCTTTCCCCGAAAGTCGGATGCTCATCTTCCCTAGACTATCCCGGCCAAGGCGGGTTGCCTTCACTGGAAGTCATACAGTTCCTGAATGTCACTAATGGAACATTCATGCCGCTGCATCAGATTCAAGGAGACATCTTGTAAGCCTTTCGTGCTTCTTTGTGGAGCTCGTAAGATATAAGAACTCACCCGATCGAAGAATTGGTATGAAGAAACCGAAGGAGCTCTTCTTTTTCTACACAATCAAAGACACCCGAAGGTTCAAGCAAGTCCTTGCGAAAGATATTTACCCGCATATTACCAGTAAACCCCTTGTTTATCCCACTTTTGCATGGTTCTGACCCTTTGTTTAGCAACTGCGCAGCTTATCTGCGGTACTTGCCCACAAACAAGCGCGTTACTGAACGTGGCATGGACATCCAAGGGCCTCAAAAAACTCAATGTCCACGGAGATACTCTCGACAAATTCTTCAACATGGGTCAAGTCGCGGACGCTTCCGCCCTTGGTGACAACGACCCTCCCACAAACTGGGTTCCCGCCCTTTTGAAGGACCAGACCCATGGCGCATTCCTCATCGCCTCCAACGACTGGGCAACTGTCGACGCCTTGCTTGCTCGAATTCTAGGTTTTCTGGGCACCTCAATCGTGGAAGTCCACAGACTCAAGGGCGCGCATCGACCGGGTGCGTTTGCTGGCCACGAACACTTCGGATACCTCGATGGCATTGTACGTGATTTCATCGTGGGCCTTGTCCCGATTGACTAACCGATTCGCATTCGAACTCAGTCCCAGCCAGCTATTGGCGGATTTGCTACTAGCATCCTCCCTGGGCAATCCCTCGTTTTGCCTGGGACTATTCTGACTGGCGAGTTAGGCGACCTTCTTGCACTTACTCGGCCTTCGTGGATGAAATGGGGTTCATTCATGGCATTTCGACAACTACAGCAATTCGTCCCTGAGTTCGATGAGCACCTTCTTCAGATGTATGTCTGCTTTATCCACTCGCAATTTGAGGCTACTGACTTGGATCATCATCACTACAGGGCATCGGCTATACCAGATGAAACAAGGACCAAGCAAGAACGCGCCGAGCTTCTTGGTGCCCGAATGTTCGGCCGCTGGAAGAGTGTTCGTTACGTTCATCTGCTTATGGAACGGGTACTTACTCTGGTACATAGGGGACGCCTCTCGACCTTGCCCCCGATCACGACGTCCCCGCCATTGGCTCCAATTCTCGCCGCAACAATGACTTTGACTATAACCACCCACCGCCATTCAATATCTTTGCTAACCAATCGCGCTGCCCCTTCTCTTCGCACATCCGCAAAGCCCGACCCCGTGCGGACCAGGCTAACCTCAACATCTTCAACCAGATAATGCGGGCAGGTCTTCCTTACGGCGATGAAGGTACGGGAATGGATCATGGGCTACGTCTGTGAAACTCATTTCTCTCTGTAGTCACTGATGCGGAGCGGGAAAAGAAGACAACCACGCTTGAACGCGGATTCGCATTTGGTGCGTAGCCTGCTCGTTTGTGAATGGAACGGTTGCCTTCTGACAATGGCCCTAGTATCCTATCAGAGCGATATAGGCCTTGGGTTCCGCTTTCAACAGGTTGTCTGGGCCAACAACATTCAGTACGCTTGTTCTAGATTATCCCCTCCAACGCGAGATTTGCTCACATATCGACTCTAGCTTCCCCTTCCTCAAGGATAAGACTCCCGGATACGACCCCATCATCGGCCAGAACGGCGCGAACCCCGTCTTCTCCTCTGGAATTGACTACAAGCACCCCGATCAGAATTCCACTTACATGAGCTTCATCCTCTCCCGAGGGGGAGAGTACCTCTACAGCCCTTCGATGTCTGCTATCCTGGACCCGATCGCGGCATAAATGGGGCTTGTGTCTGGTGTTGGTAATTTTGTTATTGACTATCGCAAAGACTCTGCTTTTCGTATGTTTTGACCGCCGCTCTTGTTCTTACGCGATGTACCAGAGAAGAATAGACTAACTGACCGCCATATTGTCGCCAGGATTCGTGCATAAGCCCATCTTTTGGAAGACACTGCTAGCTTCAGGGTACTGTGGTAATTGGAATTCAAGTGTACAAGCACACGCTTGTCTATGTTATACGCAGTGTTGGCATCAAGGCGCGGTCGCCTGAGTTTGATGGTCTTTGGTAGTTCGCAGTCGCCGTTGAAGCTGATGGCGCTTTGACATATTTCGTTGCCCATAAAGATCCGTCGCGAATGACTTCTCTCGAAGAACGATTGTCAGCAGCCATGGGTCAGGAGAAGGTTGATATCTACAAGCGTCGCATGATGGACTCGATGGAGACAATTCACTCAGTTCTGCCACGCTTAAAATATCCCTACAAGGTTACGTTGATCCGTTGATCAACCATTGGCATGCATGTTCACATCCGTTGATTATTTAGGAGCGCTGCACTGGTGATTCTGCGAGTGCTGGCGGCTACAGCAATGGCCGTGGCTCGTGAGTAGATGCTGTTTTGATTTTGTTGTATAGGTTTGGGACCCGCTGGGCAATCAATGGCATCAATTCAATGTTATCATTTAGATAAACCATTTGTGGAGAGAGCACGCCAGGTACGTATTGCCTTTTCTTTGCTGAGCCACCATATCGAGTAGGCGCCGTGATGTTGTGGGAAATATCCTGTACCTATTGACCACTTGTGGGTCGGCATCACAGGCTCAGCACCGCTGTCTCACTCGTGATCTGCAAACTTTCTCCAAAGTTTCTCGATTCATTTAACGCTGGGTATTGCATAACGGGAATCAAATGATAGAAGACACGAACCTCCCACCGCTTTCATCATTGAACGCTGGCAATTGTCAATTGACGGTGCCCAAGGGCTTCAATAATCGAGCTTCGAATTCCAAGCTGCCGTCTAACATTTGATGCATCACTATCGCGAGTTCGCCGCTGCTGCATGATGTACTTAATGCGCGCTAGCATAAGTTTCTTCGATCACGAAACGTCCCCCTCCCCCAGCTCGTATGTCTGCCCAATTAACGCGAGAACAGATATTCTTGCTCGCGGCTTGGTTTGAGGTGAATAGTAGTTCAGCCCACTCTTCTCGTCGTGTAGCTGATGTTTCCATCCCCTAGGCTATCGCTTATGGTCTGATTTATTAATGGGCGTGCTAGCACAACGCTGACTAAGTTCAACAGGCCTATTCCTTTGCCTGTTCTGCGGTACAATGCTATTCACGCTTGGTAGCAAACACCGGAGCGATAATCACAACAAGGTAAGTATCGGTACACTCGAAGCTTCGTCTTTAATACCCAATGACTTGCAATTGTACCATCTCTAGATCATGTTCTGCATATCTTTCGTCATGTTTGTGATTTCCACAACGCACATGTCTATGAATGGATGGCGCGTACTGCAAGGATTCTCCGTGCATTCCGACGATGTGTTTGCGTACCTTGATAGCCTTACGAGATGGGATCAAGTCTTCAAAGATACACTCTACGTGACGCAAGAACTTCTAGGTGGCGCGGCAGCAGTACGAATTGGGATAGTCTTGATGGTTACTTTCATACTCATGAGCACCCCGCGTTCTAGATATATCGCTGCTTTATCGTCTGGAACAGCCGCTGGCGGGTCATCGCGGTACCCCTCTTGCTCCTTGTCGGTAGTGCCAGTGAGTAATTTCGTACAGCGAACTACACACCATCATGACGTGACTCAGTATCAGGATACGGAATTTGTTTCCAATTCACTCACGCTAAGACGAACCCGTCCATATTCGCCAAACCTCTCAGCTCTTGGATCTACTCATTCTACTCCCTCGCCGTCGCCCAGAACATCATAACAACTTCCCTACTCGCATTCCGCCCGTGGAGAACGTCTATGAAGTCCGCGAAATACAAAACGGAAAAGAATGTACTGCTTCCGATTGTGCGCATCCTCATCGAATCGGCAGCGTTACAGCTGTTCGTTGAGATACTTCTCCTTGCCCTTTACTCCCAAAGGGTAGATGCGCAGGATATATTGTTAGAGCTAGTGACTCCGGCTGTGGTGAGTCGCTTCGAACACTCCCGCGATATAAATCTGCTAGATCTAACCACACTTCCTCAATGGAGGGGATTACATTCAACGCGATAACAATTCGTCTCAAACTCCGTGGAATACAAAATAGCAACAGCCCATCGATATTCTCATCATCGGATCCAGTACAGACAATTGGGCATCTACCTATGAGGCGCATCAGGGTACACTGCGGGCAAATGCCCATAAAAGCACGAGTGATACGGAGATGGTACTGTGAGGGTAAAACAACACACTTCTGCTTATTCCCACCGTAGATACTGTAGAGTAATTCAGTTTATTGTTCAAAATATATATTATCATATCAATCCAAGTTGTAATTTAAATATTTCTCAAGTATTGGCACTGGTATTATGGGGGAATAAATGAGATTAATACCAGCCTTCCACCTACAAAAATAACATGATGATCTTGAAGATGTTATTCTAAAAATCACCACAGTTAGTATTCAGATTATCATGAGCCCTTTATCTGTCGGAGATAACCTGATGATATTCTAAATATCATTCCCGATATAGTTAACGTATCCCTGATAGCGTGTATTTAGGATGTAAACTACGATATCTCCCGCATATCGACGAAGGCAGTATTCTAAGTATCATAGGAGATCTTACGTTGAAAATATACTAGAATGTATTCACAATAATGTACATAGGTTGTATGATGAATTTATAGCTGCAAGCCAAGTGCTACAAGAAAAAAAGACAAATGGTGTACGCGATCAATACATGGAAAGGATCAATTTCCATGTAATCCTGCGGGTTGAACGGCACTACCTGGTGCCCAAACCCGCGTCGGGATACCAGATTGTCGTCGTCGTCGTCGATCGTGATGGTTAGAATCCAATCGCCGCCGTTTTGGCCGCGAAAAACGTGGATAGATGACGATAATGCGCCTGCAGGCGTCACGGAAGCGTCGCTACAAATTGGTGTGCGTTAGCGTAGTAGAAAAGAATACAGAACACTTACACGATGACAACGTTGTCCATAGGGCGAAGGACGCCGAAATTGCGTACCAGGACCTCTACAAAGGCCAGCCAGGCGACAGGGCGTGGAGTGTTAGGCGAATACCAAGCTCGCATGTTTGTTTTTTTGAGATGCTGGGTTGAAATGTGTTAGAAAATGAGGTTGAGAGTGGTGCACCACTTACTTTGTACTGATGATGATGGTGGTGAGAGGTGGGCACGATGACGGCGTCGAACTCGCGCGCCAAAGCTGGCGGGACTGCTTACGGCGTCAACGTCCTGATTATGCGCACTTCACTATCCGTACGTCCCTCTCTCTTTATGTTCCTCTTCCTCTCTCTTCTCTCCCTACACTCTATCCGCGTATCCGTAATCCTCGTCGTCTTCATGGTCTCGCACTCGCATTCCAGTCGCCGTGTTCGACTCGCCAATCGCCACAACGCTCAACGTTAACGTTCGTGCAACTCGACTGGGGGTGTATCGAAAGGAACACGAACACGACGACGGTGGTGATGTGATGGTGATCGCGATGATGCGCGTTCTCGTTCATCGGTGCGTATTCCCTTCGTTGGGCGTCGAGTTTCTTCTCGTTGGTTTCTTTCTATCCGCGCTGGTTCGTCGGTCCTCGTACCGTTTACCATTCGTCCTCAATCATTCGTCGTTCACCTGTCCACCCGTTATATCGTCGTTTGCTTCTAGTCTCTCCATCGAGGTCTTGTGGTTTCGTTGGTTTCGTGGTTTCGTGGTTTCGTGGTTTCGGATCGTGTTATCCATCTCCTCACCACCTCTCCTCCTCCTCCTCCACCTCGTCGTCGTCGTCGTCGAGTTATCGTCGTCGTTCTCGTTCGCATCCACGGTTACATAGGCGTTTCATTTCGTTTGCGATCTACTCCCCTTGCTGATTTCCTTTCCTTCGTTCCAGAACCCAGCGGCGCCGTGTTCGCATCTACGTAAACGTTAGCTTCGGCGTATGCAATCGTGCTCGCGAGGTAATATATTGCGATAAGGCTAGTCGTCATCGTCTTTGCGGTATTGTTCATTTACTAACTGACACGCGTACTCCTCCCCGTTCGTCGTTCTCACCCGCGTCTGCTTCTCCTGCACGCATTCACCCATCGTAGGTGCGGGGATATCGATGGCGGCTAGAGATGGAAGGCGTGGAGAGCGGCGTGGAGAGAGGAGGAGGATGTGGGGAAGGATGTAGCCCATTTTGTAACGATTGGGGATCCTTCGTGGTGCGAGAGTCGTCCAAATCATAGCCCCGTCTTCGTGATTGTCGTGGCTCGTCGAAGCGCGCCATTAGGTGCTCGCTTGCACCGGTACCTTCAGCACAGATAAGATGCCATCAGAGGACATGGATAGTATCCTAATTAGTCAAATCAACACCAACGCAGTCAGCACAACACGTATTCAGAGCGTGAACTGACCTCGATAGCGAGACCCCCCGAGTTCAACCAGTCTCGATGGCAAGGTTGTCGACATCACCCCATGCGGCACTCGCCGAATTTCGAAACTGCGACTGATCAACTGCGCTTGAGCGCTTGCTCTGGCTGCATTACTGCTTTTGGTAGCATGCACATGGACTACCATCTTTGGCAATGCATGTGTCTGGACAACTAGCGATGAACTACCTCTTTTGGTAATGCGAATTGTCCTAACATCGGGGCAGCTTGGCTGCACCTCTGAGTAAATAAAAAATATAATGATGTACTATTTTTGAACAATGTCCGTCTCAGGCAACGTCAGAGCCTCGAAAATAGTGATCGTGATGGGCCCGGTGTCACACTCAGTGGGGTTTCACTGAAATGTTTTGGATGTAGTCGGATCAGTCTAGATAGATCGGACAGTCACCCAAGTTGCTGCAGGCTGAGGTGTGTTATTGAAAGAATATTCACTGGGATTCTACAAGGTAGTAGAAAGGGAAATAGGGGATGGATAGGGATAGGGGTAGAAAAAGAGTGTAGGCTAGAAGTCAATAATGGCTTCACGAGGATGAGGAATAAGGATAGAATGCTATACAGTACCAAAGATAAGTTGAAATGAAGTATGACAATAAGACTATGATGAGGAAATATTCTTTCCCTAGGATACGTTGTATGACTCCGCAATGAGACAAAACTATGAAGCTCTAGATCAGACGTTTCTGCTAGATCACTTCCGAAACTGAAATAACAATAAGACACCCTGCAGAATCGTTCTACAGTCTAAATGTCCAGGTTACGACAAAACAATATGTGGTGGAATCAATACACAGGTATCCAGAATAATGTAGACACAAGCTACCAAATTACTCTGTTTTCTAGTAAAGAATGCTTTCACTGATCTGAGTACTCAATTATCAATATAATCAAGACTACTAATACAATGAGACTATACAGAAGTTCTATATAGAGGCTAGGATAAGGACAAACTTTATCCTACTATGCTGAAGGAATTCATTCTCAGGGAACAGCTAGATCAAAGAGAACTAATAAATTGAACTTCACTTCACATTGTATTGCATTGCATTATATTGCATTGCGCTGCGTTGCCTATCTATCTACTACAATTTGGGGGGTATTTATACTCTACGAATACTAAGGCTGTGCAAGGATCAAGAGTAGTAGGCTGTGCAAGGCTGTGCTAAAGCTATGCCAAGGCAGTGCTAAAGCTATGCTAAGGCAGTGCTCAAAACCTATTTCATCAGTGCCGAGCCTAAAACCAAGTACTTGCTTTATAATTGCTTAGTAAGGAAGAAATCAAATTCTTCTACGTTCCAGAATATTCTTCCAAGTTCTACAGGTTACCGTATTGTCCTACAGTCTCCTATAATCTTCTTCAGCTTGTCTGAGTGAAGTGTAGTAATTGGTTGAATAATCCTGATGTAGGAGTGAAGGATAGGAGTAAAGGGAATTAAAGGGGCTTTGGAAAAGGGTAATGTAAGGTAAAATAAAGTCTATGACCATAACACAAGATCCATAGGACTTGATTCAACTTGCAACTTGCGAGGTGATGTCTATGGATTATAGCAGTGTATGAAGGAAGGTATAAAACACTAATATTCATGTCACTTACTACAAATCCCAATTTGGAGTATGACACCGGCGAGGGCATCGAACAACCACCTGCGTCGAGTTTCCACTTTGGGTGACTTTGTGTTGGGAAACTTCACGCCGACTTTTCTGAGGGCAGCAAGCAAATGGTTTATCTGTTTGGCGGTAAGTTCCTTCACATCTGCCGATGTCAAAGGTCGTGTTTCTGGTTGGGTATCTTCAAATGGGTCATCAAGATCTCCGCTGTCTTCACTGGGCTTCCGCCTTTTGCCATGGGTATCCCCTTCGGGGCTATTCGAGGCAGAACGTCCCCGTTTCCTCATACCCGCATCAGGGGCTCCGGCGACAGGCTCAATTGACGTTCCGCGAGAAATGGTTTCTCTAGGTCTCCGAGGAGAATTTGGTCGTCCAGAGCGCATTATGCTACAACTAGGAGATCCGGTCATCCTGAAAGTGAACGAAGTCGTCGACGCCGACGTTGACGCCATTCTTGTGGGAGTCATCGGGGTCAAAGCTTCCTGAGCAGGAACCGGCGAGGACAAAGCCTCACGACCGGACTCGGCCTCTAAGCGCGTAGATGCTTGAGGAGGCTCGGTCTGCGTTTGTACTATGTGCGACGGTGGTGAAGATTTTGCCTGCGCTTGGCCAGTGCGCATGAAACGCAGCTGGACACTCTTGTCAGATGTAGGTTGAGCCTCCGTCTGTGCTTGGCCTGTACGCATGCAACGCAGCTGGACGCTCTTGTCCGACTTTGGCAAATGCTCTGTTTGAGTTTCTCCGTTTCGAGTGCACCGCACTTGAATGCCCTTGGATAAAGTTTGCCGAGAGTCCGTTTGGACGACTCTCGCTTCGACATCGGGTATCTGTGTGCATTGAAAATGGGAGTGACCCTGTGACTGTGCACCTCTCGCGGCCATCCCGTGTTCTGCGGCAACCTACATCGATGTTAAGGTCGACTTGGGTGTGGGCTTGGGACGAAACCGACCTGATATGGACTTTGTATTGGACCTCCCCATTGCAGAGCTGAGGAAAGCTCTAGAATCTATCACCGTGATTCTTCAGCTGTGTTTCATTTGGGAGACACGTAAACTCACCTGGGAATGAAGTCTTTGTATCACCGGGACTAATGGCACTTCATGATAACGCGCTTGGAGCTTATTCACGGTAAGAAGACGTTATCCTGGCTTTTTCTATGCACCCACCTCCTTGGTTAGGATTCCGAATTCCGCTTGCATTGCTGCAACATGCTGCAAGGCCTGAACGGGGGATAAGAAAAATTTTATACAAAAAAGAGAACCTTGACCTCGGTTTGGACTATTCGCCTCTGTATGTCCATTTCTGTCTGAAAATGCATGCTTATCTGGAGAATTCAGATGGAAAACAATGAAAGACGTTTGACTCACTAGGGCTTCCTTCCGTTCGTGTGTATGAATGATTTCGTGCAGCTAAATTCCGCGTCATGGTCAACGTAACCAGGCGAGTACAGCGGGAGGCAAACCTCATTCGACGCTGCATACTTCAGCGACTCTATCTGACCTCGAAGGCCGATGAGCTTGAAGGAGGTCAGGACAGCAGTTTCCGTCATGAAGCAATGACCAACCTCTTACTCGGCGTCATCCTTGGTCCGGATGAGCTCCCGATTGCATATCTCTAAAGCTGCAGACTTGAATGACAGTAAATGCTAACGACACCAAGCGGATGAGGCGAGAAACAAACCTTGTCCAATGCCCCATGTTTCAGTGTCTCTATCTGGCACCACAGGCTAATGAGCTTGAAGGAGGTCAGGACAGTTTCTGTCATGAGGCAACGACCAACCTCTTGCTTGGCGTCATCCTTGGTCCGGACAAGCTCCTGGTTGCACGTCTCTAAAGCTATGGACTTTAAAGACATTAAATGTTAAAAAAGCCCAACGAATGAAGTGAGAAGCAAACCTGGTCCAATGCCGCATGCTTCAATGTTTCTATCTGGCATCGCAGGCTGACGAGCTTGAGCATAAAAAGGTCAGGCAGAATGTCCACTGTGAGGCATTGACAAACCTTTTTCTCGGCGTCATCTTTCGCTCTTGCGAGCTCCTCGTTGTGCGAGGACTTGAGGGTACTGAGATGGGCCTCGATTACAGCCTTTTGTGATTTGATCATATTCCCGAGCTTCGGGGTATTGAGGGTTAGTTGATCAGTTTTGAGAAATGTAACAGCTATATGACGGACCTGTTGCTGAGTGTCTTCTAGTCCTCTCTTGAGTTCGCGATTCATCGATTCCAAGTTATGTCTACATTGATTCTGATGAATAAGACATCAAGTATAAGTGGCAGCCAGGCAGAGCATCGAGAACAAAACGAGCCTCGATCTTGAGTTCATAGTTCTGCGCTGCTAAGCGCACTCCACGTAATTGAAGCGTAGATACCTGCGTCCGAGTTAGAACTAGGAGGCAAATGATTCTCGGAGGAACTTACAGCGTGCCTCATAGCCCGTTTCTGCCGTTGGACTTTTTTCCGATAAGTGTGGAATGTGGACTTCTGCACGTTAGTCAGTAACAGCCGCAGAGTAGTATATTCTGAGAATACCCACTACGTTTGCGAGGAGGGTTTTCCCCACCCGGACCTTTTTACTCAGACTCTCTAGTTCGATCCCAATAGCCTAGTGTAGATGGACAATACTCCATGAAGTAAAAGACGACGGAATGCGAAATTCTCTGACCTGAGCAGCCAACCGACATTGGGGCGCGACTCCAACGCTCGAACCGGTAGCACAATACGGGTCTGCGTGATCTATACACGATGCCCGCGGCCGCGGCTGGAAGGTAGGGTGAAGGGAAAGCTGCGATAAAGCTGATACAAGAATGTCGCGTTCGGGATCTATGGTAGATTCTGTCGGGGTCCCGTGAAGCTCTGGGCAACTTCCAACGGCCCCATAATCCAATGCAAGATCGGTCTGTGGCGAAGACGATGCAGGATCTAAGTGATAACTCGATTGAGCGAGTGGTGGTGGGCAGTTTGTAACGACTATTTCGGAATTCGAGGTGAGGCAGGATTTTTCATATATAGGACTAGTCCATGGCGAAGTGGGAACAGAAGGATCGGAGCCCTCGAAATGCGAGGATAAGTCGGTGGCGTGAGTGGCAATGGGAGGCACTGAGGCGTCTCGTCCCCCAGAAACGTCACCAGACGGCAGGTTGGTCTGGCAGTCGGTTGATAATTCCGCCTCAAAGACCTCAAAATGCGAAGATAAGTCGGTGGCGTGAGTGGCAATGGGAGGCACTGAGGCGTCTCGCCCCTCAGAAATGTCACCAGACGGCTGGTTGGTTGGGCATCCAGTTGATAACTCTGTCTCGGAGACCTCGAAATGCGAGGATAAGTCGGTGGCGTGAGTGGCAATGGGAGGCACTGAGGTGTCTCGTCCCTCAGAAATGTCACCAGACGGCTGGTTGGTATTTCTTGTTGCTGTAGGAGGCTACAAAATCATCATTGTAAGAAGGGGAATCAGGCAGAGTCAACATGTGCACGTACTGTTCGAGATGTCGAAGGGAGGTACTGCGTAGCCGCCATAGCCACAGCGATCATGACTGCTTCGCCAACGGTAGAGGCAGCCATTGAATAGGGAAGTAGCAAGGATTGTGCGAGATGGTGGTATGAAAGAGCTTGAACGAGAGCAGAGCTTGGACGAGAGGAGCCTTGTAGACAAAGGGAACTCCACACAAAGGGAGGGGTCTGTGGTATTTTACTATTATGATGACTACCCACGTGGTACAATCGCGAGCGCAAGCAATTATTCGAGGAAATATAAATGGTGCGTAAATGTATATGGATCCGGTTGGATGCTATATTCAAAGTCGGGCAAAGCTCTACTACTTCGGTGATGTTCAGAGGTGGAGTCGAACGTGACAGGCGAAAGATCGATAATAACGCGCGGAGATTGAGTAGGAACAAGAAATGAGTGTGAACAAGGGCAAAAACGATAGAATGCAGCTATAAGTCTGTGTGGGTTCGCCCAAACGAACTGAAATACAAATGAGGAAAAGGAGTAGATTAGGTACTGCTTCTCATGAGGAGATGCCTATATACTCACTAACATTCGAAGTCGGCCCCAAACTCTTCTGCAATCCCCTTACGTCGTTCAATGACCTCCTCTTTTGGTCGAGACTTGGCTACCTCGTAACCCTCTTTCATTTGCGCCCCAACAAGTAGAGATATGGCTGAGATAGGCCTCACACGAGGCGTATTCTTCCCCTAGATGCGACGGGCAACCCATGAGACTCCGCTTCCGTGACGCTCGTGGTAGTGCATTCACTGACATTCAGAAGTATGTGAGGGCCCAAAAACGTGCTAGGATCTGTGAAAGAGAGGGTTTGCGACGACGTAGCAGGTGGTAGCACAATATTAATAGTGAGGTACCTGTGTGTTACTGTTGCACGTTATGTTGCACTTCCTAATATAGTGCTCCAACCTTAAGCGAGACTCGGTCACTTCGGTGTTGTTGGACTCCCTAATATAGTAGCCTGTCCTTACTACACCGTAGCCCTCGTTATGGAACTCGACTCCGACAGGGAAGATTACCTCAATATCGAGGAAAATGTCTATACTCTGCAAGATGTAGATTGCATCACTTTCGTAGAGAAGTATGCGCACCCTCTGTCAAGTTGCCTTGAATGTCACAAGGGCGATCAAGACCTTTGCCGCTTCAAAAATTTCAGACGAATAGCACTGTCCGCTGCGCGTGTCGGTGCTGATTTGCTTGGGGGTAGATATACCCATTGGAAGAAAGCTGATTCGACTACCCCGGACTTCCTCTACGCAAAGTCCTTTACCCCTCGGATATCGAGGCAAGATGTCAATTATTTGAAAGTGAGATTCATATTCCCTTGCTACTAGTATACTCCACGCTCATCCTCGATAAGGCCTCCATTGCGAGAGTACTCCTTCCTGAGGTGAAGCGAAGCTCTCAAGCCCTCAATAGCTACCAAGGGCCAGTTATTCCGATGTCAAGATCAGCCCATTATAAGGATATATGCGGTAGACATAAGAGTACTGCGCACGATTATTGACACTAATTGAAATCCCTAGATATTTGCGACTGGCCTTTAGATCTTGTGTCCTGGATTTGCAAGACCTGTGGTTCATTCTCTTGTCTACAATGCCCTAGAATGACGGGGGGGTGCTGTGCCGCCGATAATGTCCTGGCATCTGCCATGGAACCAGAGGAGCTCCGGGATTTTGAACGTCAGCTCCTCGACTTCTCCTTGCTACCTGTTGTTCTTCCTCGGTCGCATGATGGGAAAGATCCTGGGTTAGACTCTATCCTCGAGAACACAATCGACCCAATTAAACGTGTAGTCCCGACTCTCCACGGCCAGTGCTCACTAGGCGAGTTCAATTCATTTTGGTCGATGGGTGTCCCGCTAGTCGTCAAACTTGGAGGAGATCTACAATGTGACTGGTCACCAATATCTCTTGCCACCCTCTTTGGTAGCGACAAATGCACCGTAGTCGATTGTGAGGATCGGGGTTACAAGGAGGAATGTCTGGTTGATGAATTCCTTCGAGTAAAGCTTCCACGTCGTCAAGGGCGTATACTCAAACTCAAGGTAGGAATTCCCCCGCGCCTCCCAGCCATGGCCTGAAAATTCTTTAGGACTATCCCCCTGACACTACATTGAAATTGAAGTCATCAGATCTGGGACGCGATTTCAATTCAGCCGTCCCGGTGTGCGAGTATTGCAGCGACAGTGGCCCCTTAAATATTGCAAACTATTTCCCCATCAACTATTCTTGCATGCCTGACCTCGGTGAGCCAAGTCAATTAGTTTCCAGACTCACATAATTAACGAGCCACAGGACCAAAAATTTACGCAGCGATGGCAAGTCGGCAAGATCGCCGTCAGCACGGCAGTACACGTCTGCACATGGATATTTCGGATGCCGTAAACATCATGGCAAACATCGATGGTGAAGCTCGGTGGGAAATATTCACAGCGGAGGATACTAAACTACTCGGTTCCTTCATCAAGTCCCGGTTCAAAAAGCTGAAAAAATGTCGAGCAGGAGATTCAGTTAACGCCTACCATGTCTACCTAACACCGGATCACCTTGAAGTTCTCAGAGTCAACTACAAGATTGTTCCGTTCACATTTCACCAGTCTTTTAGAGACGTGGTTTATATTCCAGCTGGATGCGCACACCAGGTACGGTGTCCGCCTCAACGAGTCACGACTGCCCTAATATATTCTTACAGGTTTCAAACATCACGCCTTGCGTCAAAGTTGCGATGGACTTCTTGTCACCCCAGAGCCTCGAACGTTGTTTCGAAGTCGATAGGATGTTTCGATCTTGTAGCCAAGCCACCGACACGTTAGAGCTCTACAACCTGCTCATACACAGCTGGATGGCACTAACATTTTACGAGACAATATACTGTGAGGCACAGGCCCCCATACTTCCCAGGTGCGGAGCTCTCTTCTTGGGGGTTAGGACTACGATAAGAGCATTATCTAGGCTTCCGTCTGTCCCAAGGATTGGCGTTACAACCCACGCGGCGATGGCAACCGGCACTGTTCCCAAGCCTTGTCAGAGCATGTCCGCGCAACATGATGCTGATAATGAGCACGGTGTTCCCCCCATGGAGTCTCTCTGCTTTGGAGAAGTCCATTCTGATACCACACTCGAGGATATTCAGCCAACAGCGGACACTCCAGCTGACCAGCAGTGCCGGACTTGTCCAGCCGACGTTGCAAATGAAAACGTCCCACCTGCGATGCCTATTCCTGCAACAGTCGCACTACCCGGGCTCTCGCAGCCAATGTTTACCGTCGCGCCAACTTTCACCGCCATATTTCGCACTAGTGTCTTAGGCAAGCGTAAGGAGAGGACCTGCGTGACATGTCAACAAAAGTACCCAGATTGTCCTGGTGCTGTTTTGCGGAAGAGATGCCCTTTTTTTGGTACTTAGCGGTCTGGAGCGCGGGGCTGGTTTTATATTCGAACTTTAATTATAACTTAGGGTTCGTCATAGATTCACTACATGAGATTGCGCCTTGTAATCTTGATCGGACACGTCATATCATTTAGATTAGAGTTGTTGAGTTGTGGGTCCGCGAATTAAAATTCCAAAAGGGGGTTGTGGGTCCATTTATCCGGCGGTAGTAACAACCGAGATCTACAGCGATGATCAGGTTCCGTTAGGCCACAGGGTCGTCAAAGAGGCGCTATAATATTGATATGGTTCAGAGAGTACATATGAAGTACAAGGTGAGGGATAAATAAGTACGGTGCAACAAAAATGTGTAGCTGAAGTACGGTAGAAGGCGGTACCAGACCGGTCATAGAACTTGAGGGATTTACAGCCAAATACCGACGATTCAGCCAATTTGGAGGGAACTAGGATAGTACAGTAAATCGTCAATTATCAGTTGAGATTTCGGTGGAAAAACACCAGACATACCTAATCAAACCATTTTCATGCCAGAATGGATAATCTTGATCGACTGGCTTGAGGCAAAATTCAGGTTGTCTCTGTAGACTGATCCAGGAGCTATGGTAGGCATTCCTGGGTAGCGATGGGACTGGCTTGGCCTTGTCATCCACTACCACCGGGATCCTGCCTCGCAGTCGCAGATACTGTCCTCGTAGGTCCTGCTTCGAGCGACGTAAGAGGGAATAAACACTGTCAAACCCTTCCAGCCAATCTCCGACCTCTGTCGCTCTCCACGCGGGGGTGATAACCTGGTATATAGGACGCTTAGCCCGCGATCCGCCATCACCGGGTTCATCGACATCTGATTCATCACTAGACATGCCGTCCACCCCCAATCGTTCAAGTAAAGGTACGTGTTGGCGAAGTAGTGGGTGTTGCTGAGCAGCACTAAGTCGCATTTGAAAAAGCTATTAATACAAGAAAATAAGGACTCAAAGACGCGGTGGAGGTCAAAGAAACACTCAACCGAACGCTTCCTTCCTTGGCGCCTTGCCCTGCCTTTTTCTTTCTCCTGTTGGGTACGGGATAGAAGTGACTGGCGGCGTGCCTGTCGCAAAGACTTGATCCAAGTGGCAACGGCTTCCATCGTGGTTTCTTGGTCAAGCTCCACCCCTGCCCATTCTTCAAAGGCTTTGACAAACACTCGCGCTGCGGACTTATTCCACGGAGACTTGGGAGAACCTAGAACATCATACCTAAAATTATCTTTATCGCAACAGTCCGGCGCAGACAAGCCGTTATCTGTGTTCCACAGAATCGCGTAGTTGTCGGCTTCTTCTATGCTGACAGAGACCTCCAGCAAACGATGTGATCCACCAACGAGATAAGTGAAGTAAGACCGAACCTGGGCCTAGAACGAAGATAGTATCGAAAATAGATAGTCGTAACCGAATTAACTTACTGCTAGAAGGACCCCGTCCCCTGGCCTCCGCTTCGGGTTGCTGGTTCTCTTGGGTTTACCTTTGCGCCGCGAACCATCACCTCGAAGAGGGCTTTGTTCAAGTGCTTCGATCTGGTCTTGAAACCGTCGACGGTCTGACTGCACAGCGTCCACCAAGCCTTGGATCTGATCCCCAAGCTGCTGACGATCCGTTTGTATCACTTGCGCTAATCCTGAGACCTGATCGCACAGACGACCTATTGGGTCCATGCGTAGCACTTGGTGATTTTCATTTCGAGGGGGTGCCTCCCGATAAAGTGGGTCGTTCGGAAGATACCATTGCAATGGACTGAGCCCTTCGGGTAGGGGGGGTGGACGAGGAGTACTAGGCTGAGACTCGCGCGGTGAGTAGATGGGGTTCCTCGCTACGATATCATGAATTCCGGTCGTCTCAAAAGGTACGTGATCATCGTTGCCGAGAGGAGCAGTATCGCAATCCATGAGAGACAAAGGGGATAGTTCCCTCTCATAGAGGGGTTGAGAAAGAACGATATCGTGAACATGTCCAGGAGTAGGTGATTCACGACCGCGACCCCCGGAGTCTTCACCAATGTACGTTGCCACATTATCGAGGTCATGATACCATCGTCCCTCTATATGCTCAGATACAACCTGACCATCGAGTGCATCTGGAGCAAGAGTAACTGCCCGTTGCATTGGCCGCCCTCGATAGAACGACGTCAGAACTTGCGCAATGGTGATCGGAGTCGTGAGCAAATGTCCTAAAATGTGGCTAGAAGCGGCTGTATCTGGAAAGACCCTGTCAGCTGCGATCTAACGTGGGGACGACATGAGGTCATACATACTCTGCCCACGTTGATTGGAGTCTCCTCGAGGTAGAGTATCATCAGTTTGAGAAGCGTCTTCCTCGATAGTTGTTCGCATAGCCGACAGAGCGAAACTACGAGGGGGGTTCACTATTCTCGGACTATCACTATTCTGACCTCTGGTGTCACTGACGGCTGGATCCGAAGAGCTCGTAGGTTGAGTTTCGTGATCACTACCTGGGAAACCGGAATCTGGAGGCTGACTTGTCGATGGTAACGGAGGGGTTTCCAAGGTGCTAGCAGCTCCCTCAAGACCTTGTTGGGTGTTGTCGGCTTGGCTCTGCAAAGTATTTGGTACTTCGAAGTCACCCGCTGGAGGATTTGATCTTGGGTCGTTTCTGGGAGGCTGACGATCTCTTAGAAGCCGGGGGGGGATTGATATAGGTGTTCTTGTCCTTGACTTTGAGCGTTGACGCTCAGCTAGGGCTCGTAGAAGATGCGTGTTTGGTAACGGAGCTATTGGTCTGTCCCCAGGATTTGTGACACCTTAAAAATAGAAGAGTCAAGAGTGGCTCAAGGGCTTCACTGGCTTTGTACCCACTTTTGGGATCTCGGCCTTCAGAGCGCGAGTATGGAACAAAGCGTCCGGTAGCGGCGCTTCGACCTGCACCCTGACTACGGCTTCGGTTTCGACTTGAGGTAGCACTTTGGCTTCGACTCTGACGAGAGTGTATGTAGCTTGTGGTCGGAGGCCCACTGGCGATTTCTGGCGGAGTTGCCGAATCTATGTGAATTGAGCATGCAATTGCGCCAATTTCACACTAAACGCACGACTCCTCTGACTATTAATGTCCATGAATTGGACTTTTCCAAAGTCGATGGTGCCAGAAGCGGATGGTCAATGAGAGGGCGAAGTTCCCTGCACAGCACATAACCCACAGCACATAACCCATTTATTTCAGCACGACAGCGTGCCCATGGGCATTATCTCGACAGCGAGACATTATTAATATTCTACATACCTAATACTTAACCTCGTTGGGAATTCGACAGTTTCCACGTGCTGTGAAACCTTTCCAGCCACCATCAGTCGGACGCACCAATGCACCGTGGACGGCACCACGCATCCCTGTGTCCGGCAACTTGATCATATTAAGTGCGCCAGGTCTTTGACATGGTATACAGCAGGCCTCAAGGCCTGCTGTATACCATGCCCAATACGACGTGAGCATGCGCCCAATATGCAATTCTCGTTGTCGAGAAGCCCTGTTTTTACTTTCGAAAAGAGCCCGAGGTTCGTGTATCTTAATGGATATATGGATATCTCGATATCGAAAATTCAAGAAAGTGAGTCGTTTATACGTACGTCTAACCCATATCCTCGAGAAAACGAGGCTGGAAGCTATTGTACGCGTTCTGCGTATATAACCTCATTGCTAGCTTTGATTCCGTTAACGTTCATAGTACCTTGTTTACTCTGCAATCTCGAATCCCAATTGCTATGCCTGTCGACGAATCCATCTATGCTTTCTCTGGTGCGCTCACCCTGAAACGAGTGCAAACCCGCTCCGCCGCCGCCTGCGTGAGCTCACTCAAGATATCCCCCCACCCACACGAAATGCTGGCAGTAGGCGACACGAAGGGAGTCTTGACAGTGAGTGTCGCACCCGGACGTGAGCAACGTTTTTAATTCGTTCGTTCTACAGATCCACTGGATGAATAAAAACCTGGAGATATTCCGCAAGAAAATGGTAAGGCGCGGTCGCCAATCAGTCGCCATCAGAGCCCTGGCTTGGAATCCACAACAACCGAACGAACTATATGTTGGGTTTGCGAACGGGGATCTCATTGGTTATAAGCTACGAATCGATGTCCACGACACCGGCCACGAGGTTCGTTCCCTTCAGTAAGAGATTGAAGTACTTGGAATAATGTCAACTTGAACAGGACCCATCTTCATTTCTGACTTTCGGAGGGGCAATTCACGACGTCGCCCTCCCGCCGTCTGGAACTGATATTTTTCTGTTGTTTGGGACCTCGTTAGCGGTTGTCCGTAAGCGATGAACCTCCCTCCTTACAAATAGATGTATATACTGATATATCACCAGGCCAGGGAACTCGGGCGCACTCAACCATTCCAATGCCCCCTGAGTCTCGCCCAATTCGGCTTATCCTTGACGTGACTTGCGTCGTTGTAATATTTATGGTCTCCGAGCCTGGGGTTCTGCCGGCGGCCATGTGGGTTCTTCGTGATCATTGACGACGAAATGGAACTCATGTCGGAATCCTTAGTGCCTACGATCTTCACTCGTATGAAATACGCTGGAAGTTGTTTACCTCCTGCAATGATATGATGTGAGTTTACAACCAATCCGTGCGGTCCTACTAGTAACATTTTCAACAGCCTTGCAGGAGCAATTTCTCCCCAACATACGAAGATCACTATTCTGCATGCTACGAAGGGCGCGGAAACATATACCCTACCCAATCTCGGCCATATCTCTACTGTATTCGCTGCACGGAAGTTCTCTGCCGCAGTTGATATTACGTATGTCGATCGCGATACATTTGTCTGCGGTAGCTCGACTGGGGGTCTTCTATTTGCGAACGGGACTTCCGGCGAAACCTTTGAAATGAAGGCGACAGCGAGAGCCACGTATATGCTTGCTCGACTGGTAAGCTATATCTTTTCACTGTACATGCAAAATATGACTTGAACTCAGGATGTCGCACGCATGGGCGGGCGCCACACCCACGTCGTGACCAGCGATGGCAATACATTCTCTCCGTTTTGCGACGTGTTACATTTCACGGAGACAGTCCTGCCGAACACCAGGTCCAGATCAATCTGGAAATATGCCGCTCTTGTTTTGCTTGCGGCCATGGGTACTATGTATTTTCATTCCAGCGAGGGAAGCGCCTCAGCGATCTCGTCGGTAGTCAGCAACTTATCATCCGCGGTTTTTGCTTCACTCAGTCCTCCTCCCGCGCTCCAATTCCCTCCAGTGCCCAACCCGCTGGCTCCGTTACCAGAGTCGCCATCAGAGCCTGCGTCAGAGTCACTCTTGTCGGAGTCTCCCTTGGCGTCAGAATCTTCGTTGGCGTCGGAGTCTTCTTTGGCATCGGAATCTCCCTTGGATTTGCCCTCAGAGTCGCCCTCGGAGTCGCTCCCCAAATCGAACCTTTCACCAGTACCCCTGAATACGCACTTAAGCTTGGATTTGCCCTCAGAGTCGCCCTCGGAGTCGCTCCCCAAATCGAACCTTTCACCAGTACCCCTGAATACTTCTGCATCATCGCCGTTATCCTCACCCATTAGAGGACCCTCTGAAACAGAATCGCTATATGCATCACCCCCGTCTGACAGTGACATCGGCACTGGCCTTGCTGCACGGGACGACCCCAATTACACAGAGCTCCCCTTGGCCCCGTCCCCTGACCAACACCTTCCACCGCATGTTCCATCCGATCACGCTACGGACCCAGCCGTCAGTACAATCGGTACGCCCCCCCCTGTTGCCACGGTCACGATTCTCCGTGATATGCAGACTGAGAAGACTGGTAGCGGTCGCGCTGGGATTGGGGAGTTGGTCTTTGGCGTCATCTTAGGAATCACGGCCACTCTCGTTATCATGGCTCTTCTCTATAACCACGCTGCCATCGGTGATTGGTTTGCGGGTCATTTCGCAACCTTTGCAGGCTACTTCTCAACCGCACCCAAACCATCCGACCAGCCTGCCTCCACTTCCCCTTAGTTCTTCTTCCCCTAGTTCTCCCGAGATTAAAGATGAGTAGATATAGATCTTTCTGATCTCGAAATCGGATCTCGCACGTAACATACCCACAGTTTCCTCTCGACATTACTATTTATATTTACTCCTACTGGAAGGTCCTGTAATCTACGGGACGAACAGTCCCTCGAGGTGATAGTTACGTTACATGCCCCATAGACGCCGTGACATTCCAATTCATGCATGTAGAATATAATCTATTCGCAATCGATAGCACCACTCAAGCGAACCCGCCTCATCTCATTAATGCCTGCACAGTTACCCTACGATGTTCCTTGGGCCGCACATCCGCTCTCAGACCGTGATGCCTATGATGTGGATATTGATGTACGTGTCCTTCAGAGATCTGATACTTGCCCGGCTGACTAAACCATATGTCTTAGATTTTGGCTCAACATTTTACGAGCTTAACTGTTAAAGATGTCCCAAAGACTCCATCCGTTCCAGGGGCTTACCCTGAAACACCACGAGTACAGTAAGTTGCGATTGAACCTTCTGGCGTCCATGACTGTTGAGAGGTAAATGCGCAGACTCAGTCCTAGGGTGAAAAAGATCATCAATTTCCTCAGTTTATATTCTGAGAATAACCGCGAGATGGTCGAGAACTGCACCCGACAACTGTGCGACGTTACGGATGCGGACATGTTCGAAAACAAGGCTCTTAATGCCCTCTCGTTGTTGGTGACCGACGGCAACACTCAAACACTCCAGGAACCCGCAAAGCACCTTCGTGAGCTTCTCTTCGTCGCAAAGTACTAAGTACTCTCTAAGTACATCAGCATTATCTTACGTGTCTCTACAGGAAGAGTGTCAGGTTCTCCCAGGCACCCCCTGATGATGATGTCTTTGGGACACCGTCCGATACCACCAATTCTGCAAAAGATGTCCGTGTAAAAAACGAGCCACCGTCGTCGCATATTTCCCTCCAAACCACTGAACTGACGGATTCTCAAGTCCCGCAAAAGACGGAAAACCAGCCCATGCAGCCACCCATGCCCGTCCCGATCCCCCTACAACCCTCAGCTGAGAGCTCTGCTCAACATGATCCCCCCCTTCATGGGTCACAGGATCCTCGAGCTCCTTCACATGTCGCAACTAATACCACACCCCAGCCCGCGATTTCATCGAAAGTCCCGACGGTACAAGCCACCGTCCCACCAGCTGCTTCAGCTCCCCCCCCACCTCACGTCTCGACCGACTATAATGGCGTTAGTGCGATACCACATGACGCGCGTTCTCACATTCCGATTGCACAAGCACCCATCCCATCGTCCCTCCCACATTATCCCCCATTTCAGGGGCCTACATCACAAATGCAGAGACCAAATATCTCACAAGTACCCCCGCCTCCCGTGCCTGCGGCTTATACCTATGCAGCGCCCGAAGCCCTGAGCGCGATCCCTCAAAATGAGCCGCCTCATCCGCCTCCCGTGCCTGCGACTTATACCTATGCAGCGCCCGAAGCCCCGAGCGCGATCCCTCAAAATGAGCCGCCTCATGGATGGCAATACTACCCAGGTGACAGCATACATGTTGGCCCACCGTCCCAGAGTCAGGGGTACTATAGCGTTGATGTATCCGCCCCACCGCACTCGGCCACTCGTTACTACAGTCCCCCTCCCTCAGCGCCGAATGCTACTTGGCAGGCGCCTCGTCATACAAGCGCCCCCCCGCCAGCGATGCCAATACAAACTACCCCATATGAGTCCATCAGCACCCCGCGTCGCCATATCAGTGCTCCCCCACCACAGCCTCGAGGCGAAACACTCTCTACACCCCCCACACAGAATCAACGGTCGTCGAAATCGTCATCGTTTGAGATCAATAATGTCTCAAACACGCTCGTCCTTTATAATAACAATGATCAGCCGATTACCGTCGCCTCCCTCACAATGAAAAATAATGAGAAACCGATAAAAGAGGGCTACCGCGTGAAGGCGCGTTATATTCACTGTGACCGGCAATCCTACGTCCCGGTTGTCATTTCCCGCCCCATACTCCCTTCAAACTGGAACAAGCTGGCTGGAGATCTGTTCATCATAACAACAGGCCCGCTGGGGCCATCCACCGTTGCGGAAACTGTATGGATGTTGAAGGAAGAGGGTACCTGGCATGACATAACCCATGATTTCAACAGCGATCAATTGGACTCGTTGCACTTGGTGCCGCACCCAGCTAAGGCCATTGTGAGCGATCATTTCCTCAGTAGACGTACTAGTGCTGGTAAGCCTGGTTGGGTAACAGCGAAAACCCAGGATACTTACAGACTATGAATTTACATGTATAATATTCTCCAGTACGCAAGAGAACTTCTACGTATGCAAGCCCCGTTTTCATAGAGATTCGATTGATATTGTGGACTTCGTATTCTTCCTATGTCTAAATTAGTGTCTAGTTATCCCTGGTAGTAGGTTGATGAGAATTCACCGAAAATATCATAGTCGTCTCGTGTGTGAGACTAACCGTAGTTCAAACTTCTGCATTGCCAAAAGTGGTAGTTCACATAGACACGTGTCTATTTGAACTACCACGTTTGGCAATGCACCAATCACGTCTATTTGAACTACCACTTTTGGCAATGCAGAAGTTTGAAGTGCCGCTGCCACATGTCAAGACCTCGAGTTGGTCTCGTTATCGAGACGGAAGAAATGTGTGGTGCTCATTAGTGTCTCGATGTACAGACTTGAGAGAGTACCACTTCATCCTGAGTCATCAAGACGGAAGAATTAGGAGCGCGGCTGTACGCAGGTTTCACGACATTCGAAGCAGGCTGGACGACACTCTTGGATCACAGCACAAAGGTGTCTCAATCGAATCCTCTCTCATATCGCTCATATAATACTCTGATCGCCGCCTTTCATCCTCTTCTCACATCGGAAGAGTACAGATTTCGAACCCCCAATCGACAGTCCTTACGGTGTACTCTATAGCCAAGACCAAGCGCAAGCAATTTATCTTTCTCTCAACCTCAAAAGATGAAATACGTCACTTGCCATTGCCGTAGTCACTGCGCAAAATGGGATCCTCAGACTCACAGTTTCATGGGAGGTAAATCAGTGTCTCGCTCTACCCGAGATAATCACGGCCGGGACGACAAACGTCTCCACATCGAGTCTGAAGATGTCGCCATCCCGGTTGCATCTGCTCCGGAAGAAGTTGGTGGTTGGCTACTCCTAGCGCAGCAAGAAGTCGCAGCAATGGCGGCTCTGCCGTCTTCTTCACTTAACAATCCTTTAGTCTTCATCAACGATCCCCGGGCGACTACGTTAGGTGAATATGCTCTCCATATGGATCCACGGCAGCCCAATACGGGTATACATGCTCTGCAAACACATAAGCGATCTAATACAGCCTTCCTCCACTCCGAACTCCGCGTTGCCCATCTACTCTCGAAGGCATCTCTCCTCGCAGAATCCCAAGAAGTCAACGCACTCATTTCCTCACTCGAGGACTACTTGCATCAACTAGATCGCGAGAAAGAGCTTCATTGGTCGCAACAACGAAACAGGAACACGGTCGACCGTAACGGTCGACCAGTAATCAACACTGGTAAATTCCATCCGTACTCTACCTGACATTGGCTCACGAGTTCCTTTGATGAGATGTCTACTTCGAAACTGTAATTCCCCCCGACCCTGTCCAGCAGGTTGCGTACACACTCTCGGCCATCATGCAAAACTTTCATTTTATGTCAAGAAAAGCGCTTCGCTTGCAAATTGCAGGGAATCAGGATCTGCTACTCTCATCTGGTGCACTTCGTTCGGTCGTTGACTCGTTAGCCAAAGATCCTCGAACGGCTACGAAATCTCTGCACATAGACCCCGTTCTTCGAACTTATGTGTCTTGCCTGACGTGCCATACCGTCTATCCACATGACCCAAACAACAAAAACCCTACTCACTGCATCAGCCGTGAAACTCCGCATAGCTCGACCTGCAACCAGCCATTATGGAAAGAGTCTCTTGTTGGAGGCCGCCCTAGGATAGAGCCACGTCTTACATATCAGCATCAGGATTTCAAACATTGGCTGGGGAGGCTTTTATCTCGTAAAGACGTTGAAGAACTACTGGACAGTTATCCCGCCGGGCTAAACGACACACGTCCTACCTCGGATATTTGGTTAGCCGATGTCTTTCAGCAGCTCAAAGACCATGAGGGTCGCCCATTTTTATCTCCCTCCCTCACCGAGGGACGTCTGGTGTTCGGTCTATCGGTCGATAGTTTTGAGCCCAATGCCGCCAAGCCAGGACAGACTCCCACTTCCGCCACTGGCATCTGGATAATTTGTTACAATTTTCCGCCTCACCTGAGATATCTCCCCGAAAATATATACCTAGTAGGCATCATCCCCGGCCCAACTAAACCTGACACCACCCATATCAATCCATATATTCAGCTTGTGGTCGACGAGTTCAAACCGTTTTGGAACCCTGGCGTCTCTTTTTCGCGGACGAGGTGTTCGCCCAATGGGCGACATTATCTTGCGTTGCTCATTCCCCTCATATGTGATATGCTTGCAGCTCGGCAGATCGCAGGGAAACCCGCCGCCATGGCCCATAACCTCTGCACTATCTGTGATATCGATCACGATGACATGGATATTCTTGATCCATCGAAATGGCCGCTGAAAGATCGACGACAAGTACTCTTTTTTGCCAACCTTTGGAAAAATGCACGATGTACGGCTCATCAAAGCCAAATTTTCGATGCATATGGCCAGCGTTGGTCCCCCCTTTTCGATCTTCCTTATTGGGATCCCATTCGATTCATCGTCATCGACACCATGCACACGCTTGATATCAACCTCCTCAAGGGCCACCTCCGCGATATGTTCCGAATCGACCTCAAGCATCCGGGGGGAGACGGCGCATCTCACACCGCGATTGTCAATGACAAAATGACCATCCCAAAAACCTACGTCGCCAAATTACCTGCCTGCAATAAATTGATCGCGGACAATCCTCAAGACCTCCTCTACAAACTACTAGAATTTCACCGCGCTATTCTCTATGTGGTATGCGTAGAGAATACCATCCTGGGCGACACTCATACTGAAGTAATCGGGACTCGGTGGATCTTAGCGCGAAATATAGTTCGATGGGTCAGTAGATACATTCCCAGCGCAACACTGTGCAACTGACATGTCGTCTCAGCGAGCGGACGTGTTGCACTCTTCTGTTCACAGATTCTTGCAAAAGCAAGTCCCAATTCAAGCTGTCACCACCGATGAACCCTTAAATATGTGGCTATCCAACTCAGATGACGAAGACCTGCCGCCAAACGAAATTGGCCCCATGCCTGTGGAAGGCGTAATCAGAGTTGAAACCCCCGATCCTGGTCAAATGGTAGACGAGATACTGGGTGCTGAAAATGTAGAACCATCGAACCCGTCGCTCACACAAGATACAAAGCTCCATAGCTCCATACGGAAGATTTTGACATACCTGGCCTCAGATGCGAGTGGTCCATCCCGCGAGCATGTCTCCCAACGATCGACTATTGACGTCCTCCGCCGTATTTGCCACTTGATTGATATCGATCCTTCTTCTGTACCTTCCATTGGGCGTAATGTGAAACTGCCTTTGGTAGATGCTATCATCGAGAAGGGATTTAAGTTTCCCCGCTTAATATGATTTCAATCTAACGTATCCCGACAGGCCGTTACGGATGAAACCGTAATACCTCACCTTGCTTCCCTACTTCCTGAAAGGGACGCAAAGAGAACATCGGTATTAGGCATCGATATCATGAAAGAGATTTGGCAAGATATGGAGCGCACAATGCTTCCTACTTGGGTTTCTCGTGTCCCCCGTGATTGGACCTCGCTGACAGACTTGAACGCAAGCCAAACCCGCATGCTCTGCACAGTCCATCTACCCATTACCTTGATCCGTATGTGGCACGCCTCCGAGGGTCGAATGAGAGAAATATTGGCAAACTTCATGGACCTCGTTACGGCGGTCATAACAGCCAATATGCGAACGACTTCAAAGGAACAGATTGCTACCTATGACTTCCACATTACGCGTTACATGCAACAAGCCCACCAACTCTACCCAGATGTGTCCATCAAACCCATTCATCACGCTGCCCTTCATGTCGGGAGGATGCTAGAGGACTTTGGGCCTGTCCACTCACACAGCTCTCCATATTACGAGCGCTATATCAATTTTCTTCATCGCATGAACACAAACCGAAAGCCAGGTGAGTTACCCATGTCAACAGCGTAAATAGGCCCAGCTAATCTCATCCACAGGTGGCCAGCTAGAGTCGACGATGATGATGACGTCCGCACGTAATGCCAATCTCTCTGCCCTTTTGGCAGATGATACCGCTCTACGCAATAAAGTATCTGGAATTGTCGACATTCTGGCCAAGTTCAGCCGAGAGGACACATGGCGTCTTGCTCGTTTCGGCGAGTTTGAGCCTAGTTCAGAGATTAAATTAGGTCTCGAGGTAGAACTCACACGTTTGGACGACTGTTACTATCAAAAGCTATGCAGTCAGCTCTCGGCCACTGTGTTAGTCGACCGCAATCCTTCATTCTATGACGAAATTCTGCTTCATGGCATATCATACGGTTGTGCTGGTACCTCCAAAATCCGAAATAGTCTGGTCGTCTTTCATCCTGCAGCAACCACTGTCGATGCAGACACACCTATACTCGCTGGTGTCGTAGAAAGGGTATTTCAGTACACCACGCCGCTGTTCACCGGTATCTTCTTGGGTATTCGGTCCTTCCAACCAGTCGATTCGGCCCTTGACCCATACAGACAATATGGATTCGCTGGAGGTTTCCTGTGCTTCCGGAATGTTAATGATTACCATGTCATCCCGCCACCGGCCATTGTCTCGCATTGTGCTTTGACAAGTATGGGAGCGGAGACTGGTCAAGAGCTTGTCCATGCCTTGCCACTGAATCGGGTATGTGATGTATCGCGCCTCTCTCTTTTTGTTGCTAACCTTTCGACCTGTATATAGCTGAGGCAATCGTCTGAGTTTTCCTAATTTCCGCACCCTTCGACGCCTTGGTAATCGCTTTCGTCTCCAAGCAAGGCAAGACATAAACCTCTGCCCCACTTCGAACCATCACGCACGAATTGTGACATAAGCTGGGGCTCACGGGGAGAGCGCAGGGATAGCATATCATCGATCATCATCACCTTCGTTCTATTCGAAGTTTGGTACCTTCCAACACAGTCTGAGCTCCAATCTCTAGCCACAAACGTGGTGGTAAATACCTTAATCGTAAATGATAGCGGCGGTCCCCACG